GACTTCCATCTGTGCACAAACTTATCTCGTGCCCTCATTGGTCATGTGCGCGTTCGTGTGTGTTGGAGGAGGGGCTCTGTAAGGAAGTGGCAGATTTTTTCCGGTTGTGTATTTTCAAATTCTAGCGCACTTGAGCTGGTTTCTCCAAAATTACCTACCCCACCTTTAAGTGTATTGAAAATAATGTTTTGTAATTTGTTTGTATTGTTATAGAGCCTTTTGTATTTATGACTGCAGTTGAATGCCAGTTAAGGATGTTGCCTGCTACAATCACCGTGCCATGTTTCTCAGTAATAACGCTCATCCGTGCTAAGGCCATCAGAGCACTTGTCATAGTTAAGGGTTATATCAACATTATAGTGCAGTGTGCAGTCCCTGTGAAATAGAGTCCAGACCTTTTGTTCACCTGTATAGAGTCGAGACCCCTGGACTGACAGTTGACTTCAGGATAAACAGGATAGTCTCTGGACACTGACAGCTGCTTGTCTCATATTAAAAATATTGTCCGTATTCCTAAACCTTGATAATAAAGTGTTGAAATTATTCTAGAGGAAAATATCATATGCAAAAAAAAAAAACCTAGAAAATCTAAGTATTACAAAAAGGTATTTTTTCTGGTCATCATTCTTTCTGATACAAATGCCATTTGGTCTGGGCCAGGTAGAGCAAAGACAGACTATTGATAGCTGATCTAAATTAGGAGAGTCAAAATGAAATGGACCATAGCTGAACTGAGTAGACCCGGATGGGATTGATCCAACCAAACTGACCAGACACATGGCTCAACCGCGGCATCGACGGTTGGCAAATATCCCTCGGGATGTATCCCCATTACGTAACCCACAGAGGAGATTCAATTGCTATTGAATGTTTGAGACAGTATCTAATTAGCCCAGCAGTCAATGCAAGTGTCATGTGGTAATCAATACATCTGAATCACTTATGATCACAATATTATGACATGATGATGATTATCTAAGGGAAGAGGTTAAGAAAGGGAAGAACTCTGACTAAGATTTATAAGGTAGCGTTGATGTCAATTAAAAAAAGACCTTTGCACATACAGTATGAGGAGCAGAATTCAGTACATGGAAATATGAAGTTTACCTCCTGCTAACAAGAGGTCACATAAAAAGAAAGGCAGTGCAGTGAATCTGCAGTCTGATTTATCTGTGAAGGTTAATGAAGGTGAAGGTTCTAATCCGGCGTGTGGGCCAGCCCTTTTCCAGCAATCTATCTTGTTAGTGTGAGCTGTTGTAGCTTACAGTAATCTATTCCTAGCCACCCGCCACCACCCGATTTTCAAGCACCAACGTGCTTATTCCCACACTACAGAGTCATGCAAACTATAAATGTACTCATTCATGTACACATGACTACCTAGAGCAATATTTATGCATTCCTCTGTGTTTATAGTGCCCTAAAATATGTTTTTGTTTATCCATCTGTAGCTGAGGCAAGTTCAGACCTTTCAGACAAGAATGTAACCAGGGAAGCCAGTTCATCTTCAGTAGGTATGATATCTGACACTCATGCTGTGTTTGCCAAAATAGATGTTTTAGGGCTCACATGCTTTGGCATTCATGACCCCAGCTTCTTAACCACCCATCAAATGTGCCCTGTAAGCCATATCCTGTCCATTTCCCTGGTGCGTTATGAAGCTACTTAACCTGCAGCTTGACCTTTTGCATTGGTAGATGTCTGATCCAAAAAAATCACATGGTGCACAAACAGGTCTTACTGTACAACAAGTTACAGTACTCAGGTCCCTGCAAAGGAGGCGCCTTGTGACAGCAGTATCACATGACCAACTGACATGCAGGTGCGGATAAATCACAGAAACACCCGACACATATTGTGTAATAATAACCTGCAGGAAGTACTGCATTTGTGAACTGTCTAAGGTTCTATATTTGTGAGGCTGTCTCAAAGGTGGTGAAGGGATCATGGTAGTTTATCTACTAACTGTGGCTAGTGGCAAGTTAAGAGAGAACTTATCACTAAAGTGCAGTCTGACACAACAAACCACCAGCTACAGTTTAAAAAAGACTGCAGAATCAACATAGCTCTGACTCATTCTTGGGTTGTCAGCTGCCCAGCAACATAGGTATTTATTTTACCGTGTGTGTGACCACAATAGCTTTACTGTGTATCATGCTGTCACAAAACATGACAGATGTGTATAGATCAAATGTAAGGTCCAGTGTAAAGATGGCATAGCCAGAGAAAGGGGGGAGGGGGGGCAAAGTGGCCATTGGCCCCCCACACTTTGTCCCCTATGCCCTATTTGACACCGATTTGGGTGATCGTGTCTAAGCGAAGTCGCTGAAAGTAAATTAAAAGGGGTGGCTAAACAGGAAGTATATACTGTATAGTATATAAACGTAAATGTAATTGAATGGATCTCCCTCATATCTTATGCAGTGATCTGAGTCAGTATCCTGTTTGGGTAGCTGTGCATCCTGGTGTTTACCTCATAAGGTTGCAGAAATGGAGAACAACCATGCTGATGCAGGAGAAGAAGGATCTATGCATATTTGTCTTTCTGTTGCTTCACCATTTCCATTCATCTCAAGTTAAGAAAAGAAATGCCAATTTGTTTGTCAGATCTGTTTTTGTGAGTTGCTGTTGAAAACAAGTTGAGTAAATGATTAGGCCTCCTAGCAGCAGTAGTTGTGTGTGGGTGTTTTAGCAGACTTGCAAATGGAGTGAGGACTTTTTTTGTTGTTGCGCCTCTTTTTGTATGTGTGTGCGTGTGTGAGAGTTTGCTGAATGGGAAGTTAGTTTGTGTGAGTCTGTCTAGACACAATCTGAACAACTGAACTCTTTGTGACCTTTTACCAACCCAAGGGCTGTCTGACTCCACACTCGGGGAGACACGATAGATGCTGAGGATGCAGCAGGCAGGGACACAGACCAGCACTCTGTCAGACTCTGAGGCAGACGGCTGCTCTGACTGAGGGGCGAGACGGAGGACAGGAACACCCTTACACAGGCAGTAGTCCCTGACGATATACAAAAAAACAAGACATGTAGATACGGGTAAACATAACATAGAGACAGACAGCATTGAGCATGATCAGACACATTTGCAAACTAACTATCATAATCATAGTGACTAGAATGATCACGGTACTGTTGTTAACATTTGCTGGGTACTATCCATCCAAACTTTATATTCTGAGTGCTTTCATTAAGTTTAGCCATATTTTCTTCCATACAAACAAACAGCCCAATATGCATGCTGCTGTTTCTGAGAGCGTATTGCTTACTTCCATTGATGCTGGACGAAAGGTTTTAATGATGATCGAAATTTGAAACAGGAAGTGTCATCTCTACGGTACACAGTCAGGTTATCAACAGATGAATAAGCATGCACTTAGTAACATGAGGTAGTTAGTGTTGAAGGAATGAGAGAAGCGACATAGCCTGGGTAACTTATTCATAGCCTTAACAGTACAATGAGGAGCAGCCTTTTTGTTGATGCTACGTCCCTGTTGAGAGGGGAGGGAGATTACTTCCAAAAAAGGACACTTGTTACCAGTATAGAGACAGAGAGGAAAAGATTTCTCAGAAGATAAAACACAGACACAGGGGAAGAGAAGCAGAGGAACAATAAACCAGTGTATGCTAGAAAAAACACATAATACGTTGAGATAGATGTAGCAACAGATAAACTGTTTATTTGTGGCCAAGCATCTGCAGTACACCGCCTCCCTGTGTGTACAGCAAAAAGCTCAATATCAATAGAATCGATCAGTGGAAAGCCAGTGTGCAATGTTAGGATGATTTCTATTTATAGGTGGGTCTGTTTGTGACATAACAATGGCTGCCATCCGACTCTCTGGCAGTTATCGAGTCAGACACAGTCTTTATTTTTATTTCCTTTATTTCCTTTTCTAATTGAAGGTAGCTGATTTATAAATGTAAACACATGGCATTGAACTGTACTTTTTTCTTGAATTCAAACTCTTCCGCACAATCGAGGGGAACACATTTCCTCACAGTTCAAAAGGTCAACAATAAAGACCACATATCTGAAGTGCTTTGTTGTTCGCACACATTTAAAAAAGCAGACTAGAACAGTTGCTTGTGGCAAGTCTTAAAATACACACTGATTTAATGGGCCACTTTTCTCCACTGTAAAATGTTTTGATTTTGCACTTGTGCTTGATTCTTCTATATTGTATCATCAGCACACTACATGCTTATTCATAAATACAATTTCCTGTTGACTTGATATTATATATAGAGCTTAATGAATGATATGACACAGTATTGAGTATGTAAGTCGCTTTGGATGAAAGCGTCTAACAAGTAACATGTAATGTCTAACAAGTAACATGTAATGTAATATGTGTGTTTTTATCTGAAAAAGCAGGTATTAAGAAGAGCACCACAGGGTGAAGAAAACTGAATAACTCTGTTTTCAGAAAACAAGTAATACGTGGAGATAACCTAAAAGAATACCTGTTTTTTTATTACTGCAGAACAGAACACCCTTACTGCATAACATGTACAGTATGAGTCTTAGATCTTATAAATAACCAATGCACCAGTGTTTTAAGAGAGGGATAAGTCCATGGCTGTGTCTGTTCCTTTTCCTGTGGGATGCTAATTATGCAAGAGAATGGGTTTTCTGTCTGTCGCGTCCATTCTGGTCCGCCATACTGGGGACGTGTGGCAGATGCAGTAGAAATGTGTTTTATTAAGCCAAGGTTTGGGTGTTGTCTCAGCACGGCTGCAACCCTTCATTGCTAGCACCATCTAGTGGCAGCAGGTGTTAGTTCACAGTCATGGGTGTGTAGTGTCAGGGAGCCTCGTGGTGTTTAGTGATCTGAAGATAATGTGTGGCAGCATTCTCGTAAAGCTTATGGAAACAAATTAAGCAGTTTTTGCAATGATGGAATCAACAGCCCGTGTATAAGAGACAGTATTTCTAAAGCTCTTGGAAAATGAACGTTCATGCCGTATAACTCTGTGTTTTCCTCTCACTTCAGGACCGCAAGCTGACCAAGGCGGAGCAGCAGCGCTTCAAGGAGGAGGCGGAGATGCTGAAGGGGCTCCAGCACCCCAACATCGTCCGCTTCTATGATTCCTGGGAGTCAGCGCTCCGCGGCAAGAAGTGCATCGTACTGGTCACCGAACTCATGACTTCAGGAACACTTAAAACGTTAGACAAACCTCCTTATAACAATTTCTCTTCTTTCAGCTCCAGCTCACTGTGACATTACATTGTATAATACGAATACACCGCTTCACATTTTCGAACATATCACATCATCACTAAGCAGCAGCTAGTGTCTTTTAGTTTGACTACAAAATCCGGCTTTGTCTCTTTTTGACCAGATACCTGAAGCGCTTCAAGGTGATGAAACCCAAGGTCCTGAGGAGCTGGTGTCGGCAAATCCTTAAGGGCCTTCACTTCCTTCACACTAGGACTCCTCCGATAGTCCACCGGGACCTCAAGTGTGACAACATCTTCATAACAGGCCCCACAGGCTCGGTCAAGATAGGAGACCTGGGACTGGCCACTCTTATGCGGACCTCCTTTGCTAAGAGTGTCATAGGTAAGCTACAGAAATGGACCACGTACTTCCCTGAACAATGCAAGGAATTTAGTGGTTGTACAAGCAAACTGAGTCATGGCCTTTAAATGTATTTTCCCCTGCATTCAGCAATGTTACAGAGGCAATCATCGCACTGGAGGTATTGATTATTCTTGACAGAGTCATTTTAAAATCCATGTGGGCGGCACTTAATGTAAACAGAGAGCACTAATGAGATGTTGTCTGTGTGAGCCAGCTTAAGCAATGCACCCGAGTACCATTTAGCTCAATGAACTTTAAGATTGTTACCTTCTTTCGTCGACTTTGGGGCATTAGTGCTCTGTGAACATTGAGTTGTGTGAGAGTAAATACAGATTGTAAAAAGTGATAGAGGTGAAACAGTTTTAAGCATTTCAGCTTGTAATTGACTGAACCACTGTCTTTTCTAAACAGGAACTCCGGAGTTCATGGCTCCAGAGATGTACGAGGAGCACTACGATGAGTCTGTGGATGTCTACGCCTTTGGGATGTGCATGCTGGAGATGGCCACTTCAGAGTACCCCTACTCTGAGTGCCAGAATGCTGCTCAGATCTATCGCAAAGTAACAAGTGTGAGTGTCTTTGACTGTCTTACTCTCATACAAACTCAGCACATACTGTATGTAGTAATGACATGTGCAAAGCTCATAGTTTAGTTGTTTATTTAAATGTAACAAATGTCATTTTTGACATTGAAAGCTTTTATTGAGGTACATAAAGTCATATTTTGTTTTGAGTTATGAATAGTGATTTCTTTCACAACATTTTGAGTTGAAATGATCTGAAATAAATCCTACACTTCAATCTAAATCTGCAAATGGTTTAATACTAATAATACTGTGTTGCATCTGTTTAGAAATCCATAATTTCCTGTGAAGTAATTGCACTTTTCTTTTCCTGCAGGGTATAAAGCCAGCCAGCTTTGATAAAGTGAAAGATCCAGAGATCAAAGAGATCATTGAATGCTGCATACGCCAGAATCAGAGCCAGAGGTAAACAGGCTTTGACTTTGACTGCACTGTCTCATCATGAAGAATTCCAGACTTGGATCATAAAACATGCTTGCGCCTGCTTCACCACTTTTGTTGTCTCTCCCTTGACAGGCTCTCCGTCCGAGACCTCCTGAACCACGCGTTCTTTGGGGAGGACACGGGGGTCCGGGTGGAGCTGGCAGAGGAGGACTCGGGCACCCAGGACTGTCTGGCTCTCCGGATATGGGTGGAAGATCCTAAGAAGCTAAAGGGGAAGCACAAAGACAACGAGGCCATCGAGTTCAGCTATGACCTGGAGAACGACAGCGCTGAGGAAGTGGCTCTAGAGATGGTGAGACACATGGACAAATCAGACCTGACTATTAGAACCGGAGTGTATGTGAGGGCCCAGTGTGGGATAGGTAGACTGGGGAAAGGCTTTCGTGCTTCAAAGCTTGCAGGAAGATCAGCTGAGGGAAATCCTTCAGCTCATTTATCAGCCATTCCAAGGCACCTCCTTCTGACCTAGATTCCCTCAGCCTACCTCTAGTCATTTATATATATATGTATATCTCTCTCCCCCCCTCCCTCTCTCTCTCCTTCACGCTCTCTCGCTCTCAGGTAAAGTCAGGATTCTTCCATGAGAGTGATGCCAAGGTTGTGGGTAAATCCATCCGGGATCGAGTTAATCTGATCAAAAAGTCACGAGAGCGCCGACAGCAGCAGCTCCTCCAGCAGCAGCAGGAGCTAGAAGAAAAAAGAGACACCGCTGTCACCTCCTGCAGCTTTTCTCATCCATCCTGCCTGTCCTCACTGGGGCCAGGGGCAGCTGGTCAGACCGGAGGAGGGCAGGAGTCAGAGGAGCTGCCTGAAGTGGACCAGCATGTCAGGCAGCAACACATTTTCAGTGGGACAGCCCTTGGTTTGCCAGGTAGAGTATGCCCCTTTTAAGATTCAATTCAATGGCCAGTTGTGCTTGCATGAGAAGGGCTGCACCTGATGTAATCTTCTTGACATTCAACGCTTCTGTTTTCTGAATAAAGATTTGAATGTAAAAAATAAAATGTCTTTAAAGAAATCTTTAGATTTAATTACTGGGACTTTTTTCAAATTTCTGGGGGGATTTTCGCCAGCAATTTTAAAATACTTGAATCTGGCGATTGCTCCTTTTTACAGTTGATTTTGGTATGAAATTGAGCACGTCTTATTGGAGTGCCAAGCGAAGCCTTAACATACAAGTTTGAAAAATTAGTATAATAGCATTGTTTTTTTGTTCTTGTGGTTATTTAAATGTAATCCACGGCACTATTAGATTGCTGCAAGACCACCCTGTCGTTGGTGAATTTTGGAAATGATTACATCTATCTTTGTTTAGTATATATTGGCTTTTGGACTAAAATATAAAACCAATAATATTGGGATTGGTATAAATGTGCCTTATCTTTTTCTGCAACTGTGTTTGAAATTTGAATCAATTTGAACTATTCAGGACAGCCCTAGCTATGAGGTAATGCATTTTTACATTCCTTCTTTGTTAAAATTGTCTTTCACTCCAAAGGTGAGAGCATCGGGTCTGTCAGCTGTGAATCTTGTACGATTGCACAGAGCCAGGCGTACTCTCAGCAAGGGGAATCATACACCCACACTCTACCCCCTGCTGCATCCGTACGTCTACACTCTTCTCGTTTATAAATTCCACCAAAATCATTGTTTGAATCACATTGTTTATTACTTATTTTTCTTTCACTCCAGAGTGGAAGTGTTCCCCATGTGCCGATTGGTCAGAGTGTTGGTTTATCCAGCATGTCCGTAGGCCAAAGTGGAGGCGGACCCGTCGGTCAGACGTTTCTTCAGCCCAGCACCATGGTTCCACAGGTATCACAAAGTGTCCCTCAACAATATGTTCAGGTGATAATGGTGATCATACTAATACATATTAAAATGAAAGTCATATTTACACACCGGCTACAACATTTACCATTATTGTTATAAGAGTTAGAGCTATTGTTCCATCACATCTTGGGTTATTTTCCCTCAAATAACTACTTAACCAGCCACACACCATCCTCATAATCATCTGAGATAGACCATTTGACTGTTTGCTGTACAGGGTTTCCCCCAGGAGATTAGTTAGCAGTAGGGGAAAGGTGTAATGTACTAATACGCTCTTTAATTAAATATACTCTTACATCTGGTTGTATAAAATATTGCCTCTCTTCTTTTCACCCAAGGTTTAATGCTTTACTTCGGTGTTGGTATTAACCTTTTACAGAGCCCCGCTGGTGTCACATGGTAGAAAATAATGGATTTGTTTATCTGTAAATCCTCAAATTGACAATCTGTGTGCACATATTGTAATCCATTGAATATTTACGTCAATAAATTAAATATGACCTTACTGTTCCCTGTAGCATTTAATATGCTGCTATTTCACTATAATATCTCTAAAGAGAACTTATAATTAGTCAGTAGTACCGAGTCGTACATTTATATTACTTCTAGGCATTTAACTATGGTATCAATTTAATACGGTATGTTTATTTTTCTTATAGAGGCAAAGAAATGTATATTTCACAACAACCCTTCATTAGCAGTACATTTGTATTATTTATTTAAATGTATGTAGGCTCTGAAGTGTCATGGGCAAGATGTACTTAAGTGTTGCGTGCTCTTGGATTATAAACCTCAGGGCACAGATTAACACATAGAGGTTTTTATATACCGTGTGACCCCAGAGAAGCTCTGTAACTCTTCTTACTTTAGATGTGAAGTCTGTATTTCAGGTGATTTACAGCCCACTTGTGCTATAAAACACTGTGGGAAACCCTGTTAAAACAAATTGTAATACAATTAACTTTGTTTATAATTGATGCTTCTTACCAAAGCTTATTCTTACCTAATTCTTCTACCCCTCTCTTTTCCCTCTTCTTTCAACACCAATCATCATTCTGTCATTATCACTGATTAGTCACAAACATTCCCATCAGATGCGTTTCAAACTGCCACTCCCCATGGGACACTGGCCCCCTCACAGTCATACATACCTCCTGTTTCCCCACAAGCACCCAATAATGCCCTCACTACATCCATGTCAGTCAATGATCCTGCTGGACTAGGGGGGGCCGTTGTGCCCCTCGCTCAGCAGACCCAACCCTCTGCCACTCCCATGCAGCTCACTGACATCATTCCCCATGCGGCACCCCAGCAAACGCAGCCTGTCATAATCCCTCAGCAGACTATTGTCCAACAACAACAGATAGCGATGGATCCCCAGACCTCCGCCCTTCAGCAGCACCAGTCGCTTCAGCAAATGGAGGCCCAGGCCGCTCTGATCGCACAACAACAAGTTAGTGCACCGCAGCCACAAACGGATCATCATCCACAGAGCCTTCCAGCTATGGCTGTTCAACGTCAACATGAACCCCCGCAGCAGATACATGTACAGCAGCCGGTCAACACAGCTCCTCAGCAGCAGGTTTTACCTACACATCAAGGTATGGAGCAGCGAGCGATGTCATTACCACAGCAAGAGGAGCTACCTCAGACTTACAAACAGCAGCCAACAGGGGATCTGCGTGAACAGACAATGAGTCAACCCCAAATGCAACAACAGCTTCAGCACACTCTGCTTCATCAGCAACAAGCTTTACTGCTTGAGCAACATCAGACGTACGTCCAACAACAGCTTGATCAGCAACATCAAAACGCACTGCTTCAACAGCAGCAGCAGCAGCAGGCCCAACTACAACAACATCAACTGGAGCAGCAGCAAGCACTTATTCAGAAGCAATTGTTGGATCAACAACAGCAGCAAGCTCTTCTTCAACAGCACCAAGAGCAGCAGCAACAGCAAGGTCTTATACAACAACAGCAACCACAGCAAACACTTTTACAACAACAGTTAGAGCAGCAGCAACAGCAAGGTCTTATTCAACCACAGCCACCACAAGACACACTTTTACAACAACAGCTAGAGCAGCAACAACAACAGCAACCTCTTTTACAGCAGCCACAGAGTCAGGTTTTTCAACAAATTGGACACAACCAATCTGGAATACAAAAGGAACCAGAGAAGCAACATCAAAGTGGACTACAGCAGCAACAAATCGTATTGCAGCAGCAACCACAGCAGGCTCAACAGGAACAGGAACAGTTGCAGCAGCAAGCCTTACTCCGACAAATTGAACAACAACAACAACAAGCACTAATACATCAGCATCTGCAGCAGCAGGCTATATTACAACAGCAACAGCTACAACAGAAGGCTCAGCTTCAGCAACGGCAACATGAGCAGCAACAAGTGCAACTCCAACAGCAGATAGAGCAGCAGCAGCAAGCTCTGTTGCAACAACAGTTAGAGCAACAGCGTCAGCAACAATTCTTGCTACAACAACAACAAGCGGAGAGATTACATCAAAAGGCTCTGATACAGCATCAGATTCAGGAGCAGCAGCAACAAGCAGCCATCATTCAGAAACCGGAAGTTGTCTCTATTCCTCAAAGCAACAGTGAGCAGCAGATTCAGATGCATCCAACCGATATGCAGCACGTGTGTGTCCCACAACCAAACGCCCCCCAGTTTGCGTCTCATTCTGCTCTCACACAACAGCAAGCAGCAATGATCCAGCAGCAGCAAGCATTTGTTGCCCAGCCTCAGCATCACGCTGCATTAATGGAGGCTAATATCTCAGTTGGAGCTCCAGCCACTGAGATAATCCAGCACCAGGCTCAACTTGTCCCGCAGGCCCAGGTCCCCATGGCCCTTCAGACTACTCACGTCCCTGTCCAGACGCCTGCTGGTGTCCCAGCTCAAGTCCTTACCCAGCAAGGAAAGAGTGAGGCTCATCCCCAGAACCAGGTCCCAGTCCAATTTATCACCCAGTCCACAGTACAAGCCGCTCAGGCTATGATGGAAGCCCAAGTACCTGCTCCTGCAGCACTGATCCAGGGACAGAATCACGTCATCCAGACCCAGCAAATACCTTTACACACTAGTTACCCAGGACCTGCCGCCCTCACACAGACCCAGGTGATCCAGTCCCAACAGCCAACTGTGGACATTCAGATGATGAGCCAACAGAGCCAAGCTACTATCCAGCCTCTAGCTGTAATGGCTCCAATTCCCAGTCAGATCCAGCATGAGACTCTTGTTCAGCAAAATGCTCAAATGCCTGTGCTCATGCAGCCCCAGCTCCAGCAACAGACTCAAGGCCAGCCACCTTGCCAGCCACCTTGCCAAACACATGCTCAGGCCACGACTGCTGGCCTTTTGACCCATCAGTATTTCCCTCAGCCAACCCACCAAGCTGTGCCACCTTTACAACAGGATGTAACTCATATTACGCAGCAGCAGCAGCAGCAACAAGATCCAGTACTGCTATATCAGCAGATGATTCGGTCTCCTAGCTCAGCTGGAAGTGTTGGAACTACAAGTACTACTAGTCACAGTTCCATAGTTGACCCTGCAAACTTTGTCACCACTCCTCATCCTGTGCAACAGATTGGACAGGCCTATACTGTCCAGGCCCAGCAGCAGCTCCCAGGAGACCCTTCAGTCCTTCAGTCCATCTCCCAGGCTCCCATGCCTCAGTCTGCTGTGCAATACGAGACACAGCTACAGAAGCCTCCTCCACAGGCTCAGTTACTGGCTCAGCCAATCCCAACGCCCATCCAGCAACCTTCTCCTATAAAACAGGCTGGGATGACCCTTGATGAGAGTCTGCAGCCCCCACAGGGTCCACCTGCTTCACATCTGGTGAGCCATCTCTCTGCACAGACAGGCACCAGTAATGTTGCAGAGCCCCAGTCCCTGCCCATCTACAGTCATCTCATGGCCGGCGCCCCCCCCGTCTCCGCAGCACCAAGCCAAGCAGATGCTGCCAGCTCACACACACACACAAACCAGCTTTCAGGCCCAAATCCACTCCCAAACACAGACGCACCTTCAGACACAGGCTCATTCTCACACTCAAACACGCACTGGGATACCTATTGCTGAACAACCCGTTCTACCCCATGCTGTCTTTACTGCACAACAAACGCCCCTCAGCCCCTCTCATACCTCATGTCCCCCAACATCACTACCATCTCTCCCTTTCCTGCCATCCCACCCTCCTGCTGCTGCCCCTCTGCCAGAGCTGCCTACATCTCCTCCAGCAGCCAAGATAACCCTACCAGGGCAGGCCGACTTTATACCCACCTCCCCTCTGCCTGTCACTACTCAACAATCGCTTGACTCTAATGCCCCCAAACTGCCCCAAGCCTCGCTGCAAGACTGTCACCTTACCCTGTTGGGCATTGCTCAGGTACAGGAAGAATGAGAGTTGATTAAAAATAATTATACGTTGCTGACATACTGGCAGAATGATTGAGTGTACTACTAACTACTTATTTGAAAACACTTTGACTTTTGGTTTGAAACTAACCAGTGTTTAATCTTTAAACATAAGTATATTTATAGAATCGTGCATGTGTTATTAGATGAAATGTTTATTATTACATTATAGCCTTACTTGGATCTCATATGCTAACGGTGTTATTTCTCTTTTCTTTGTGTCTGCATACTCCTGTGCTTGTTTTCATTTTACTCTACAGGATAGGCCATACCTGTCTAGAACAGAGCATCATTCTTCTTCAGGGTATGTCTCTTATCGTGCTATTTCTACATAATAGTTGTTGCATATCAAATCATTCAACATGTCAATCCGTCAAGATAAAACACTGTAGTAGTGCTGATACTGAGAACTTTCAAATGCCTTAGTCTGAAAACGGCTCAAGACATTAAGTGCAATCAGTCTTCTGTGTAAACACATTGGGGGCAAAATAGTTCTGTATTTGTATCCTGAGCCTTTATATAAGGAGATGCCAATGGAAATAATGGCATAATCAGCAAACACATTTTTCAGTGTCAGAATAGTGGTTAGACTAGGGTTAGATAGAATATTAATATTGCATTAGGTTAGTATTACATTTTTTTTTTTACAAATATCTATATGCTAACTTATTGTTAGCCCGTATTGACCATACCCACAGTGTAGTGGTCAACATGAATAATACATTCGGATGTGTTTGTTTGTGATATAAAACGCTTAAATGTATCATGTTGATAATAAATATATGCATCACATATACATATTTTCAGAGATGTACGGTATGTGCTAAGGGTATTTTGCATCATGATGTGTAACCACCCTTTTACCTTACCACACACAGGTCTGTTCCAGCTAATGGAGAGGAAACCCTTCAGCTTATGGCCATTGGGAAGTTAGATAAGTTAAAGATACAAGGAAGAGCTTCCGGTCAGAAGTCTGAGAACATTTCACATCAGTTTCAACTGAGCATGCTCCAGGTAAGAAAAGGCAACCCCTAGCATATGTGCTGAATTCATGTATACTATAATGTTTTGAAAACTAAACCTCTATAATGTTGATTTATCATGTCCTCCCCAGGTGTCAGGCAGTGGGGACAATATGGTGGAATGCCAGTTGGAAACCCATACCAACAAGATGGTAACATTTAAATTTGACACCGAAGGGGATGCAGCAGAGGATATAGCAGATTACATGGTAGGCCGCTCATGTATTTATAACGTATGCATTGCTTCTAAAAAAGATTCATTGTATGTCTTCATTAATGCTGTCTGATTGCATTTTGTCTGTAGGTAGAGGAGGACTTTGTTCTTGATGTAGAGAAAGCGACATTTGTTGAGGAGCTTAGAGCCACAGTCAAGAAAGCTCACGAAATTCTTCAAACACATTCACAGGTATGTTGATATCCATATTTTAACACCTCACACCTTCTCTCCTCTGTAATGTTTCTGTTTTTGAATAATAATAATTTATAATCTCTATTCTTCAATAGACTGGATCAACTGACCAGTTGTTTGTGAGCACTCCGACTAGTTCTTCAAGTGAGTTATGAATAAATGCTTTTTTAGTCACAAAAAAGTAGCACTAGAAAATAAAAGAAATGTGTATCTTCTATAAATTGTTCTAACTAGGAAAATACGTCTATGCTTTTCAGTGGAGGCAGTGCCCCATTCCTCCCCAGTGGGACGCTGGCGCTTCTTTATCAATCAGACTATTCGCCACAGAGACTCTCTATCCGGAGCAGAAACATTGCTTACATCTGAAGAGATGAGGATTCCTCTGTCTCCTCAAACAGAGAGAGGTGAGCTCTGGGTTTAATTTCAATGCTGCCTATTTACATGACTGACATGACAGCATAACAAAAACTAACCATGTGTTCCTCTCTGCGCCTGTAGAAAGTGAAGGATCCCAGAGTCTGGAGTCCATAACAGGACTGACTTCTCCCCCCTGCCCCGCCCTTTCCGCCACCTCCCCTCCTGTCTCCACTGCCTCTGCCCCTGCCTCCATTGCCCCCTCAAGCACTGCTGCGCCGGCTCTTTACCCCACTGCCCCTGAAAGCATCTCAGCACCAGCCTCCACTCTTAAATCCTCTGTCCCCGCCACTGCTTCAGGTGGTTTTGAACAGCCAATCCTAACCTCAGCTTCTGTTGACCAAATTGCAAGTGTTCCCTCATCCATAGCAATACCTGCTGCAAACCCCCCCACTGCCCCTACTGTCATGTCTCCCACACCCATAACCATTCTCCAAGATGTCCTTGCTTTTCCTGGAAGCAATGGTTGCTCCACTGTCACAGGTCAGAGTATGGGGGATACATTGCTAACTGCTACAAGGTCATGTGTCCCTGCAGCGGACCAATCTTCAACTTCTTTCAGCTCCCCTCCTCCTGCTGCAGCGGTGACCTCTTCTGCGGTAAGCTTACTTGGCATGGAGCATCAGCAAACGCTCATTCAGCAATCCCCACAAAAACCACAGGCACAACTGCAGCCTGCGTTACAGCAGCAGGTTCCGGTAGTTCAACAGCAACTGCAGGCAATGCAGCTTGAACAACAGATACAGCAGGCAGCACCACAGCAACAGCAGCATCCAGTGTATCCAGAGCAAATGCAGATGCAGCAGTCACTCCAGCAGCTACAACATCAGCAACTAATGCAGCAACAGATACAGCTGACTGATGTGCAGGTGTTGCAACAGTCTGTGCCTCTGCAGCAGTTTCTGCCACCTAGTCCCCCACAGCAGACCCAACAAGCCCTTCCTCAACAGCAAACACCTCAGTATACCCAACAGGTGATGCAACAGCCTGCGCTACAACAGCAAGTAATGGCAACCCAAGCTGCTGCATTGCCTCAACAGCAGGCTGCCATTGATCAACAGCAGCAGCTACACCTACAACAGACAATGCACTTACAGCAACAGCACATGGTGCAACAGCAGCAGCAGCAGCAGCAACAGCAACAGCAGCAACAGCAACAACAACAGCAACAGCAACAGCAACAGCAACAGCAACAGCAACAGCAACAGCAGATGTTTATGGGTGCTGTGGCTTCAAATCCAGATCACAGCCAAATGCTGCCTGTGTCAATTAGTCAACAGTTTCTTCAACAACAGGCCCAGCTAAATGTTAGCCCGATACCACAACAGCAGATTCCACAACAAACACAAATCCCTGCTGAGTTGTCACACCAGCATATACAGCAGCAACACACTGAGCAGCAACAAGAAGCGGTTAAAACGACAGACACACCGCAGAAACAGCAGTCCTCTTTACAGATGTCAGAGTCAGAGGTTTCTACAGGAGAGACAAGTTTCACAGAAGACACATGCAGCTACTTTACGAATGTCCCCCCTTCCTCTGAATCCTCTCTGCCGCCTCTCAATCTGAGCTCTGATGCACCCGTACCAACACTCTCCCTCACGATGACACCATCTCCCGCTCAGCCTTCCTCCGTGGCTGAGTCAGACAGTGAGGGCCCCCCCAAAATTGAATTTGTGGACAACCGCATAAAGACCCTGGATGAGAAGCTGAGGAACTTGTTGTATCAGGAGTACAGCAGCGGGGCGGCGCCGGCCTCTGGACCTACATCAGCTGCCTCCACGTCAGCAGGAGGAGACGAGTCATCTGAGCCACTGTCTCTCCACCACTCTTTCCCCCAACATGCCTCCTCCTCAAATACTTCTCCTCACTCCTCATCCTCTTCTACCTCCTCTACAACCTCCCGTTCCTCATCCACCTCCCCTGACCCAGAGAGGGGTTGCAGAGGAGAAATACCTTCCTCAGAAGCCGTTTATTTTGCAGAGAAAGGCCCAGTGGAGCACCAGCCTGGCCCATCTCTCCCCTCCACCTCTGCCTCCTCCACCCCGTCTGCCTCTCTCCTTCCTCCCAATCAGGATGAGTCTGTCGGGCGCCAGCGTCCACCCGTACCAGGAGAACCAACCATTCTTGTGAGTGAATCAAATTTGTCTTCGCTATACTAAATGTACATTATTTTATTTAGTAAAGCTGTTTGTTACATTTGTTGTTTTGACATGTTTGTGTGTCTCTCCGTTTTGAACGTCTCAACTCCATGCAGCCACTCTTAATTGTCTTAACTGTTCTAGGCTGTACGCCCACACTCTGACACCAGTACCACTGGAGACGCATCGTGGCCCCCCAATCAGCACCCGATCCCCCTCCGGCATGGACAGCAGAAGCACAATGCAGGAGGTGGATATTTTGGCCTAAACCTGACATGTCCTAGTATCAGAAATCCTGTTAGCAAGAAATCCTGGACTCGCAAATTCAAAAACTGGGCGTGCAAACTGCGCCACTCCGCCAGCTTGTTCAAGAAGCCCAGAGTCCAGCAAGGTAGCGTCCTCTCAGGGAGCGAGAGAGAGAGAGAGAATGGGATGTTGGGACATGGTCGTAAATCTAATATCTAGTACTAGTTTTAACATAGTAAAATAACTTTTGTAACCAACAGGAATTAATTACTGTTAATGTTAAAGGATGTTAATGTTGATAGCTAAATAATCCTGTTTTTGTATATTTTAATGTGACAATAGACAATCCATGTAATGTTAGTGTTGATATCACTACATGCATTATTGTTTTGTTTCCCTTCTTTTCTACATTTCTTTTTGCTTAATTTTATTTTCTTGGCAATCTTTGCTTTTGCATGGGTTGCTCACCCTGGGGCGAGAACAGACGAGAGTAGAGGAGGGTGGAAGATTGGCACAGTGTAGGAAGAGGTTGGCTCTGGAGTAAAGCCCAGCTGTGCCTGTGCCGTGACATTTCCCTTCATATTTCTGCCACGAGTCTGCAAGCACAGCCAGCAGCAACCATCTCACCTCCACCTGCTGCCTCAGTGTAGACAGCACCGGGCAACTCACATCATTACACATATAAGAAAGATGCTTAGTTGCTAAACTGATATTGTGTCATCAGTTTACATTTAGGAAATGTGTCGCCTTCTGTGTCAGCTCCTACAGTATAGCATGTCTCCATGAGACTATGCTATATATTGTAATAGTAGTAGACCATCATTTCATTTGCATTAACTGTATAAATATGCAGATTAAGATTACAGTTATTATTTCTAGTCTATATTGTGCACATTGCCCAGGGTTTATAAGGTTATCTTGTACATGGGTAGGCATTTCTCACAGCTGTAACAGCTGTCACGCTGACAATTATTTCAGCCGTCCTGCATGTGTTTTTGTTTATATGTTTAATATGATAAGCAATAGCGTAGCGCCTTTTCTGAGAGTGCACATGCATGAGCACATGTTATGTTCCGCACAACTGACTAATAATGGACCGTGGCCTGTAAGTAACACTAAAATAAGGGGTCAACCGATAATCATCTGGGATATCAAGCATTTACAAGAATAGTTATTTTTCAAATAAAAAAATGAAAATAAATCCACTACATTGGCTCTGGTGCAGCTAATGCAGACTAAAGCTGCAAGTAAATCAGTGTTTTATACAATGCTGCAGATATTGCTGTAGTTGAAATTAACAACACAATCACAACCGAAGTTGCAAAAACAAGGTTATTGGTCTCCTTGATGAATAATCAGCCTTGTCTCACCCCTGAAAAAAACAAATCAGTTGACCCCTAATTTGTATCAGGCTGCATACATATAAATGTTGATTTTAAATAATGCAGTTATTATCCATGTTAACACTTTGCACATGTAGTAATCCCAAATATCAAACACACTGAACAATATCACTGGAACAGAGCACAGATCTGGAATGTGATATTGGGCTCTGTTGTCTGATATATGAGTGGGAATATGGTGAGTCAGTGAGAATGAGTGAGTGGATGTGTGGGTGGGTGGGGGTAAACTGTTGTAAACATTCAAATGCCATTTCACTATGTGTTATTTTTATTAAATGCCTACTATAATTTTTCTTAATGACACAAGCATTTACCACCCCTTCCCACACGCCCATTACACATTCTTAAGATTGATTTTCTTTCATCCACAAAAATGTATTATCCAGTTTTTTGTTTATATTTTACCAAATTACATTCACAGAACTCATATGTTACACATTTCATAAAACTGCATGCAAGTCATGTTAGTCACAGAGTTAATGATGTGTGACACTGAAGGGTGATTTTTAACACTGTGCCTCTGTGTTCATGTCCCACGTCTATCTGTGCATCTGTATGTCTCATGTCGGGTACATTTTTCTGTGTTTGTTGCGTTCGTTCCTCGCCATTCTTTGTTCTCTTCATACCCGTGTCTCTGTGGTTTTGTCCCTGTCGGTCCTTGTCTCCCATTTTTTGTTTTTCATCCCTGTCTCTTTATCAGAAGGACGTTCCAGCAGTCAGGCACTTAGAGAGGAGAAGGAGGCGCCACCCCTAAATCCACCTCATGCACGCAAAGGACGATTTCAGGTAGGAGCAACAGAACAGATTTCATCTTTGCCACTCATCAGTCTGAACCTTCATTGCAGCTCGGACAGGAAGCTAATATCTCCCACATCCTCTGCCATCAGGTGACACCCGTTCCCCAGTCCTCTCCCCCATCAGCTCATGGGAGCACGCACAGGAAAGTGGGACGCTTCTCTGTCAGCCAGGCCGAGACCAGGAAGGCGGAAAGGAACACTGACAGCTCCCCGGTGTCTCCCGACCTGGAGAGGGAAAGGAGGAAATCTCGAGCAAAGGAGGGAGAGAGAGATGAGCATAAGAGGACCCCAGCAATGGCTCACCTGCCTCGAGGGCATGGGCACAGCCACTCCCCCCTGGCCAGCAGCGATGACGATGATGATGATAATGAGTGTGAGATGGTGGATGAAGACCTGAGAAAAGAACTACACACGCTCAGAGAGAAGTAAGTCAAAGAGGGCAAAGCTTAACCTCCATTTTGCTATATTTCCATTTATGGTTGTTTCTTGTCTATATAATACGTTTTACCCTTAAATTCTCTTTTGTTTTGCATTTTCAGTTCATGTTCTTTTCTCAAACCTTGAAACTCTTACTATATTCCTATTCTGTTTGTCTCTCTCTTTCTTTACAGGCACATCAAAGAGGTGGTGTGCCTTCAGTCCCAGCAGAACAGAGAGCTGCAGGAGCTGTACCAACAGCTTCGTTCCCTCAAAGACCAAAGGCAGAGTCTGCCTGCCTCCCTGTCCCACACCCCTTCTCTTCCCTCGGGACCCCTTGTCCTCTCTCCTCGTAGGCCCAGGCCAGCCAAAAACAAGCTCCGACCGCGGCCTCACTCTCACATGGATAACAACGGAGTCACACACTCTGGTACACACTTTTATAGATGATGTTTCTCCCGCTTTGTCTTTTTTCTGTTACTGCTTGATCTCTGTGTGACTGTTCTATGTATCTCCCGTCTAGGGATTCAGCAGTCAAGTAGTTTCTCAGGTGGTGAACAGACTAGGCTGCCTCTTTACTGCAACACAGAGCACTGCACTTCACTGCCTGCCAAACGAGGTGCAGTTTCTCAGTGATAAATCAAGACAACACAGAAATTAAACAGAACAATTATGATACATGCCCTCATTTTTCCACAGATCACAGCCCTCTTAGAAAAAGCACATTCACAGATGAACTGCACAAACTTGTTGATGATTGGACGAAGGAGACGGTGGGCCCCGCCCAGCCCAAACCTTCACTTAATCAAATCAAACAGATTCAGCAGGTGCAGGAGTTGGGAGGCTGGAGCCAGCCGACAGAGGTAGGAATACTCACTATAGAAAAAATATTTGTTTGGGATTGTTTTATGGATATCATGATTGTACTGTGAATTATTTTCCATACAGGGGGCTCCCCCTGGTTGGTTTCCAGTGACACCGCTGAATCCCCAGGCATCCCCGACCCCTGCCGGCCTGCCCGGGGCAAGCCCTCCTCACTACACCGCTGGAGGAAGCCTCTCCACCTTGCACTCTCTGGGACCATCACCACAATCGCACATGGGCACAGTGCCACCGATGCAACAAAGTGTACACCTCCATCAGTCTCTCCCCCTACAGCAGGCGACCTATCAGCAGTCTACACTCTGCCAGCAGCCCGGGATGCAAACTCCCACACAGTCCCAGTCTCTACCACAGACACAGCCCATCACCCAGCTGCCCCAATCTACACCTCAAAGCCAACCGCTGCTGCCTTCCCAAATGCCCACATCTCCAGTGTCCACGGCTGCACCCCCACTGCCTGGCAGTGGCTCCGCTGCACCAGCAGATAGCACTACTGCTACTGGGGGGAAATTATGCTCCTATTCCTCACCCTCCTCAACCTCTTCCTCCTCTTGCTCTACTGCTGCTCTACCTTCCAGTGCCAAAATTCACCCAACACCCCCAACCTCTACTCTTCCTCTGGGACAGAAATGAAACCAGTGTGAGGTCAATATGAAGGTGCAAGAGATGGAAACGTGACGTGGATCAGGATGTAAAGCAGATCTATTTGAATTGTTAGTTGTGGCTGTGTATGAGAGAATAGTGACTGCAATGATTATATGGATTCCAGTGTTCTTCTGGATGAGATGGGGCGTGAATGTGAGACGTGATAGATTATAGCATGTACAGACAGAGGGCAACATGGAACACAACAGCTGTGTTTATGAATCATGGTATGTTTGGGTGTTGAGATGTATAAATTCTTAAATGTATGAGTGTGTGCGTTTTATGAGTGTGGTTGAGTGTTTATGGATTATCCAAGTACATATCCCTTATGTCCTTTTACACAAATTAACATTCATGTTGGTTTTTAATCCAACTCAGTTGAACTCTTCCTAAGCAGAGGTAGAAAATATTTGACAGTGTTTTAATTTGTCTTTGCTTACAGTGAAAGGACTATCAATCTTAAAAGTGCAATTAGTAATGGTCATCTAAATTGATCAGCATGTATTGTATGGATTTTTCTGTAAGGCATAACATATTTTTGTAGAAGCACATGATGAAAACCGGATGCAGATAGGATCTTCTCATGATTATTACATAAAGCTGCGGACCTACAGCACAAGGTGATTCAATTGGGCAACAAATAAAAACAAATAGCATGTTATACCGTAAAGCATGGTAAAGTTATCTGGCTACCATCGTTACCATAGTGCTGCCAATATACTGTTGCAGTGTTGTTCAAAGGTACAGCATGTGCTTCATTTGTATTATTTAATGTTCAGCAGTTGTACCATAGAAACACTCTAACTTACTATGAGTGATGTGATATAAATTCTGATAAATTTGTAATGTGATGGCTAATTGAAGAATGCCATGTATGTTCAGTGGAGACCTGGGTACACTCAGCCCAAGACTGCATGACCTTATGACTAACATGACTTACCAGAATGCAAAGTGCGTGCACTTGCTTTATATTCGTGAAGCTACCATTTGCAGCTTACTGTGATCATACAAGCAAGTACATTTGCTTTCCTATTTGACATTTTTGCTTTCGGTTAGAGCTCATATCAAAGTATATCACGGTGTCATGCTGAGGAGAAAGATAAAACTGCCAAGTTATTATAGACCGGGGAGACCATGTGTTATTCCCACATTGCCTTTTAAAATTACTGCATTTTTTTTGTGGGTGTGTGAGTGTATATTATTTCTTTGTGACAAAGCTTGGTGAAAGTCCTTTGGTATATATTGCATTATGAATTTCATCCCTGTTTCTTTTCATTGAAAGTAGCCCCTCAAATGTCACTGTACCCAACTCAAAATGTTTACTATGCCTATGCTTTGGGCTTTTAACAAAACAAGTGAGAGGTTAGACCAAATACCGGTCGCAAGCTTGATGTCCAACATCGTTGTCACATCCTCACTTGCATATTTTTTTATTTTGTTTGGCGTCGGATAAATTCCTTGTTTCAGTTGTAAACAATTGAGGCTTTGACCATAGGCTGTCAGTGTGAATGTATCATTCAGAAGCTGAACTGTGGGCCATAATTGTGCTTTTTTACGCACACTGCAAAAGGTTTACCCAAGTCAAAAAATGTCCCATTCCTCTATTTCTGCACCCTTTATTTGTAGATGTAGAGATACAGAGTAATATATCAGCAGTTAATATATTACTGTACATTTTATTGGGTTATCAGTGCTCCATACAAGCATTTGACCATGAATGGCCTGGAAATAATACACGTTTGGGTATAATTAGTAGCCTGTAGTCAAAGCAACATTTCTGTTTTAATAATTATCGAGATATTGCGTGTCAATGAAAACAGGAGATCTTACCGGTTGTTAAAGATTGCTGAAGTGAGTCAAAGATAATAAAACATAAATGGTTAAGAAGGAGTAGCGTGCTAAATGGTATGGTTGTTCAGAAACGGCATACACTAGAATATATTGATTTTCAAGACATCCCAAACTGTCACAGAGATGTAGTTTATTCTTAGTGAAGGGGAGATAATGTGCTGTCATGTCTGATACTAACATGTTGGCTGCAAGCTACAGCTTAATGATCATGATTCATGATGAAGAGCTGACTTTGTCCTTGAAGTGTTACCAAAATGTTATCTAAAAGAAAGATTATTTTTGTATTTTGAAATGGGGTTGTACAAATTGTAAAATTGTGTTCTCATCATTATAAATATAAGGTTATTTGAAACTAGAAAAAAACACTGGTTTTCATCTATGTTTACATGGGACTCCCCTGCATCGATATACCTCTGAGTTCAAGATTGTCTTCAGAGAATCTTTGGTCATTTTTTAGATGTAATTTCAGTTATAAAACATGGACCACCAACCTGTTAGATTCATAACATACTTGCATAGATGTTCCTGCTGAGCTGCAGTTCATATTGAATTAACATACAAATAATTGCAACGAAAATCTGGGGAGTCCCAAAATAACATGACTGGGAACCAATGATAAAAGGACATTTGGGCAGTGAAACCTGAAAAAATTAAGTATGTTGCTGGTGATTTAGCCTCTGTAAATTGTAACTAATTCTACTGTTGATTTTATTTATGTTTTGTAACTAATCAAAATAAATGATGTTAAACATCAAACCACAACATTGTGTTGATTGTTCAAATGCCATAATCGTATGAAGCCGAGTCCTCCTAAAAACAACAACTTTTTGTGTGGGTAAATGTGGCACATCAGACTTCATCAGAAGACCGCCATCAAAGTCCAACGGAGCAACTTTACATTACATACATTTAAAAAAATCGGAAAACACTATGTAAGATTTTCTATCAGACAGATACATTTTTCCTAAAATCGAGGTGTACCAATCTACATTATGTAACATGCAACCAAATTCCATACCAAAAAATGTATTACAACCATGTTAACATAGCAAATATTAGGTTCATTTTGTTTGCACAATAAGACTACTTTGCAACAAATTATTGTATTAGCCTTTCCTATATGTTGACAATCACAAGTAGATTGACACCTTTAAAGTGTCCGTAAAATAACTGCTTACTAGGCCAAAATGATGTGAAATAAAAGGAAAATGTATAGGCGTTTCCTGATTTGTGATTGATTTTAACGTTTTCATTTAGTCGTGTGCAGGCACGTGCACACATTTGACGCGCGCTGCGGCTCGCCTCGAAAATAGACGAGAATAGCCGATCGCAGCCGGGGGAGGTCTCAAAAAGCTCGCCTGAAGTCGGACAGCTCGGAGTCGGCTTCTTCTTCTTCTTCTCTCGGTTTTTTGGCGGATTGCAAACAACTTTAAGGTGCATACCGCCACCTCCGGAGTCGGCTTGACTCGGTTTGCATTTATAAAGAATGCACAAATGTGTTTAATCGTTAATGTCAGATATGGACTAAGTAAATACATTTGTTCCTGCTCAAGATTAGATTCAACTTTATTGTTATTGCACAGATTACAGGTACTGAGACAACGAAATGCAGTTTAGCTTCTAACCAGGAGTGCAAAAAGCAGTAAAGTGAAAAGTAATGTACACAATCTACAGAATAAAATATAGAATGAATTGAATGATGAATAAACAGTGAGGGGTATGAATACACTAGATCAGTGGTTCTCAAAGTGGGGGGCGCGAGAGACCAGGAGGAAAAATGGTTATTAAAAAAAAAATAAAAAAAATAAATCATAATTAAAAAAATTATTGATTCGAAAATAATATGATACAGTACTATTACGTCTGGGTCTCTGTGTTTCATTAAAGCTCGGCTCTGTGTGTGTGTGTGGAACGAGCCATTTTGTGTGCGCGAGAGAGAGAGAGAGAGAGAGAGAGAGAGAGAGAGAGAGCGCACCGGTACCGGAGATCGTTGTTGTTAGCTTCTGGTGCTAGCGAGCTACGCTAAAGGATATAAGGAGTTTTTTCAACAACAAAGTGGAGGAGAGTCCTCTCCTGTCAGACTGAGAGACTCAGTGAGCTAAAGGACTCTCTCAGTGTTTAGATAGTTAACTCTAAGTTATCTCAGTGGGTCTCAAACGTTTTGGTCACCATTAATGTAAACAATTATTTCCGAGGCACACGTTTATATGATCATTATAGTTATAAAAAAATAAGAGAATAAATTAAAAACAGGTATGAAATACTATATGACAGTAAAACAAGAATAAAGTTTAAAAGGGTGATTTGTAAAATATCCATAAAGAAAAAGTAAATCTGTTTACAGTTCTGTTTCATATGGGTGTTGAGAGAGGTATCCATAGACCTTTTCATTTTGCTCTCAAAGTGCACCAGATTGATGCATTTAACTTCAATATTTAAAAAAAAATCTTTCCGGGGGAGCTTGCCCCCGGACCCCCCTATGTGAGGTCCACACACCACCTATAAAAATAGCACTTTACCCCTGCTTACACGTATATGCCGTGAGCTGATTTTCGAGCCTTCATTGTAACAGTCGCGGGTACATTGTGTATTTGCGTGGGGATTGTTGCAGTAGAAAATTCCACTGTAGCGACTGGTACATTAATGGGAAACCCTAAATGTTTGAGCACCCTCTATGAAACGTCAAGCTACCCCACAGCACCCCCAAAATAAATCTCTGGCGCCGCCACTGAGCCTGACTATTTGTTTTGGGGGGGGCCCGACTTTTTTTTTTCTCTAAAGGGGGGGCCTGACAGAAAAAGTTTGAGAACCACTGAGTTAGCTCTAGGTTTAGCTAAGGCAATTTATCATGGGCATACAGGCTAATGTACTGTACTTAAGGGGATACACCGATACAATAAAGGTGAATACAGTAGAATGTGTATCCAATAACGTCATCACAATCGCCAAATTGATATGCAAATTAGGCGTTAACTAGGCCTAATTTAAAATGCGCTCATTTGCATGCAGTTACCAAGGCATTGCAGGTGAAAAGGATAAAACAAAAAACAAACAAAAAAACATATCACCTCACAACTTCCCCAGATAGTTACTTACGTTAAGTCAGTATTTTCCCCTGAAATGTAATGTTTAAATATGCAGATTAACTTTAAATAGATGAATTCAGACATGGTAGTAAAACGAACACCATTTATATGTGTTTTTTGGAAGTTTTCTTTCCATTAGAATGTAAGAAAACATGGAAGCAAAATTACGGTGGCCCTGAAGTGCAAGACACCACAGCATTTCACAAAACACTACAGCATTTCAGAAAACACTACAGCATTTTTAAAAACACTACAGCATTTCAGAAAACACTACAGCATTTCAGAAAACACTACAGCATTTCACAAAACACTACAGCATTTTTAAAAACACTACAGCATTTCACAAAACGCAACAGCATTTCAGAAAACGCCACAGCATTTCAGAAAACACAACAGCATTTTTAAAAACACTACAGCATTTCACAAAACACAACAGCATTTCACAAAACACAACAGCATTTCACAAAACACAGTGTTTTGTATGAAAGTATGAAAAAAGGATCTTTGTGCCTGTAATGTCCTTAAACAGTAACTTCATAATTTTGATTGTTGGCTGCTCATTTAATAACTATTCATTTGACTAGTTTGTTGTCTGCTCTTGTGCGTAGTGAATACTAAAGAAGACCCTGGTCTCTGTGTTAACTGATTATTTTGTAGAAGTCTGTACATTTTTTTGTTATAAATGATTATGGGATGTGCCCTTTTTCTCACTTGAGCTCCGGCCCCCCAAAAGGTCTGTGCACGTCCCTGGTCGTGTGTATTAATTGATGCATTTACCGGCATGTATTCTTTGAATACATATATTACGCACATTAGGCTATGTTTGCAGGTTACGATTTGTCTGCATTACTCTGCAAATGTGTTGCCGCACAAACGTCCCGCAACGTTTTTCTCCCTGAACGCAACCCCACATTTGACTCTGCAACTTTATTGTTCTTTTTAAAGCAGACAGCGACAAGCAACCGTCTGACGCTGCAGCCTTTGAAATGGCGTTGATGTAGTTCAATACGCCGCTATTTGTAGTTATTGTGCTCGTTTTTGTCGCTTCAGGTTGTAGTTTTCCGGTCCAGTTTAAATTTCTGGACCTGAACTCTATATTAGTGCATTACGAATTGAATAAAAAAAGATGTGGATAAGCAAATTGTTTATAATTTACGTTGCATAATAAGGCCGGATCTACCCCCGACCTTGCGTAGGGATTACAACGGCTTTCGGATGCTCGGCCTGCCGCAGCTAGATTCTGGTGAGTTGCTAGCCTTAAACATCAATTAAGATAACAAACTATGTGTTTTGTTTGTTTGAATGAATTTGCGGTGTTATGTGCACGTATTGTTTCTTCAAAATGTCAAATATATATTGCACTAACTGTTTTCTTGTGCGAGTTAAAGTTAACATCTTTGCAAACGCTTATGTTAGCTTAATCGTTAGCTCATATAGCTAATATTAGCTTACTGGCTAAACACGTTAGTGTTATGATAGCAGTACAACTTTCGAGGGGCATAGCGTGTTTACAAACAGTGCACTAACGTTACGGCCTGCCCGTTGGCTAATGTTAACAACATGTTAGCAGAAGCAAAATATGGACAGTAAATAAGAAGGTAGTCCTAGTCTGTATTGTAAGAGCTGGATAATCTTAAAATGAATGTTATGCTACCAAAACGACTAACCTTAGTGTTAGTTTTGTTAACCTGCTAACGATATTTGACATAGCTTGCGTCTCCCTGGAGGAGCAGTTTATATGTTTCTCAGCAGTCCCATTTATACAAATGATATCGCAATGTAGTTGTTTTATTGTCCCGTCTTCTGGCAAGCTATAATTAATACGCTATCTTCTTTCTGTTATATTTCAACAGGTTTCCAAGAGAATCACGGTGGACATGTGTACCAGTAACATCACTTTGGAAGTAGAGTTACAGAAACATCATATTTTTTGCATAATTTAAAATCACATTTCTTTTATAAATATATCATCCCACCTGCATAATATTTTGACAACGTAACTTTAATAATAGTAGAAAGCTGATTCCCTCTCACTCAATATGGCATCGGTGCCACTGTACTGCTTGTGTCGCCTGCCTTATGATGTGACACGCTTCATGATCGAGTGTGACATTTGTCAAGACTGGTTCCATGGAAGGTGGGTCATTTTCAGATTAAACACTGTTGATCGTATTGATGTCTGTGTGCATGAAATCCAAATATTATAATGTGTGATTTATGTTGTGGTTACATCTGTTGTCTAAATTGCTTAATCCCTGTAGTTATATTCTATATTCCACACACCAAAGTTCATTCAGCTATCCTTTCCAGCGTTCTTTATCTGATATAAGAATGTTTTCTGTGTAGCTGTGTTGGAGTAGAGGAGGACAAAGCAGCTGAGATTGACCTGTATCACTGCCCCAACTGTCAGGTCACCCATGGGCCATCTGTCAGTAAGTAAACATTTTTTAGTTCAATTTTTTTTATTTGTAATGACCTTATTGGTTTGCTTTTATAAAATATTGTTTTTGATCTCTTATCTCTGTATCTCCTTTGCTCAGTGCGCAAACGCCGTGGAGGCAACAAGCAGACAGATGGTGGCGCTGCAGCAAGGGATCCAAGTCGGCCTGTTAAGACAGGCAGCCCACAGTTTGTTAGGGAGTTACGGAGCCGCACCTTCCCAGGGTAAGTCCCCTGCAAAGGCTAAAGTTAGTTATTTATACGTTTAAAGATAAAAACCAGGTTTCCGATCAAAGAAAACACCTAAGATAGTTTTCTATCTAATTATTTTTGGTTGGAGAGCCTTGGTCTTCTTTGTAACATAATTCAAAAGCCTTCTCTTTTGAACGTTTTCACTCTGTTACTAAAATGTTTGCAAATGTCTATTTGTGTTTCTATGACAGTGCGGATGAAGTTTTGCTCAAGCCGTCGGGGGCCCAGCTGACAGTCGAGTTTCTGGAAGAGCATTCATTCAGCGTTCCTGTCATGGTGCTGAGGCGGGATGGCCTAGGCATGACCCTTCCTCCGGCATCATTTGGCGTCAGCGATGTAGAGCAGTACATTGGTATAGTTTTTATTACTAAATACATACTGATTAATGTAAACATGTTCAGGCTAATGTGTATAAGGCTTAAGCTAATTCTTTTTAACCTTTTTCATTTTGTTCTCATGCAGGTTCAGACAGACAGATTGATGTGATTGATGTTTCTCGCCAATGTGACATGAAGATGCGGTTGGGGGACTTTGTTGAATACTACAACAGCCCCAATAGAGAGAAAGTACTGAATGTTATCAGTCTGGAGTTCTCTGAGACCAGGTACACAAATATATCAACTGTTCAGTTTTCATTAAGATGCAGTGTCTTGCGTCTTGAGTTATATATATTATTATTTTGCTAGCAATTACAAAAAACTACTTTGAAAAAAATTAATAAGAACATCATATATTAAGTGAAGTATGTTGTCATGGATAAGAGTCAAGTGTAAAGTGCTGTTGTATAATAATACAAATAAACAAGGGCAAATATACAATACAATTACATACCAAAAATACAGTAGAAGATGTAAAAAAAGAAACCGACTATAAAGTATGAAATGTATTAAAAGCTACATTTAGCATGCATCTTTTATAGCTCTTGGTAGGGTATTCCATAATTTTGGGGCATAGTCTAAAAAAGGTGAACTGTTGTTTTCTTGTGTGTATTTATCAACCCAGTAGAAAACTACAGCCTTGTTTTTGAATTGTTTTAGGCTCTCAAACTTGGTGGAGACTCCAAAGATTGTAAGAAAACTGTCATGGGTGGAAAACCTCTGGCCTGAAGAGTCTGTGTTTGAACGCCCCAATGTGCAGAAGTACTGTCTAATGGGAGTCAAGGACAGCTACACAGACTTTCACATTGACTTTGGAGGCACCTCAGTATGGTACCATGTCCTCAGGGTGAGAAGAAAAAATATTTCAGTCATGTTTGGGAAGTTACCCTTACCGAAACAACAGTTTTATTTATTTTGTGATATGAATCTGTATTATTTCTAAGAAATTGTCTGTCTATGTCTATTCAGGGCGAGAAGATATTCTACCTTATTTCCCCCACCACAGCCAACTTGGCACTTTTTGAGCGGTGGAGTTCCTCGTCTAACCAGAATGAGATGTTCTTTGGAGACCAGGTTGATATGTGTTACAGGTGCTCGGTCAAACAAGGAAACACATTGTTCATACCAACAGGTGAGCTTCAATGCATATAACTTGTTATATATATATATATTTTAGCACAGTAATGGTCGGCAAAAATGTCGGAATCTATTAATGTTTACACTTTTGTCCTTTGTTTGTCTTCCAGGGTGGATTCACGCTGTGCTGACTCCAGTGGACTGCCTTGCCTTCGGAGGGAACTTCTTGCATAGTCTCAACATTGACATGCAGTTGCGGTTAGTTTCCTCAGAGCTGTTTCCTGTTTCCCCAGTCAATGTAATCTAAATGCAGCCTAAAAGTGAAACTTCTTTTTACTTGCTTATTGTTTCAATGCCATTGCTCACATTCCTTGCTGCTTCTGAGACAGATTTTGCTTTTCATGTTTCTTGGTTTTATCTCCTACAGTCACACCTATTGCCCTTCATTTGAAGGCACATATCTACAGAAGAAGTAATCTGCAAGTTTATGGCAACAGCGTCTAATGTTTGACTCTCCCTGTGGTGTCTTATCATCTTTTAGGGCATATGAAATAGAGAAGAGATTAAGCACAGCAGAGTTGTTCAGATTTCCCAACTTTGAGACCGTGTGCTGGTATGTTGGAAAGCACCTTCTTGATACATTCAGAGGTGAGGGAGTTCATTTTATTTCATAATATTTTTATGTTCTGCGAACTACTTCAATGTCCTTTGTTTACAATTAGTAATTTTGAATGTCCCTTTGCTATTCTTTCTCAGGTTTAAGAGAAAACCGCAGACATCCTGCCACTTACCTGGTCCACGGAGCAAAGGCCTTAAACAATGCCTTCCGCGGCTGGACTCGCAAAGAGGTTGGCAAAATCTTATCTCATCTTAACCTCTTTGTATATTATTATTTCATCACTTCTCTCTTTTTTTAATTCACTTTTGATTATTTCCACCATAACTATTTCTTCCATTGGCCTGTGGATTTGTAGTTTTGCTGGATGTTAGCTCCAAAAAATGGAGCAGAGGTGCAACAGCACATTTATTATAATAAACATTACATTCAATTAGGTTTTTATGTAAATCATTACATCAAATTATAATACTTTAATGGCCAACATTGTATTGCAACTTAACATTATGGCCATTATGGGAAAATATAATATACTAATTTACTTTTTAGATACATATTAAGACCATCATACACATCATCAGAATTTTAGAAATGGCTTATTTTGTACACCATAATATTATATGTAACTGCAAAATGTTGTGAGAGATGCTTGATAGTTTTCTCTATACATCCAGACTGTAGCAGATCATGAAGTGGAGATTCCAGAAACCATCAATACTCAGACGTTAGTGAAGGACCTGGCCAAGGAGATCCGTCTGGTTGAGGTAAAGAGTTTAATCTAAAAAAAATGGTGCATGCGTTAAGCTTTGTTTTATTTAATTTTGAGTTTTTTCCTGACTAGAAAATACTCTCTTTTTGATAGGACATCTTCCAGCAAAACATTGGGCGCCCTGGACCTCAGTTTCCTGGTTCTCCACTCTCCAAAGCTCCTCTGACCACCTCTCAGAATTCAGCACGCCCCCCTGGAAAAAAGAAAGGAACCAAGCCCAAGGAATTGATGGGGGGACTTGGGCCCCCTGTAACCAAGAAGAAGAGTCAGAAGGGGCTTATTAAGGCAGAAGCAGGAGAGCTCGACCTCATTGAGATCCACACCAAACACACACTCAAAAAATGTCAACCTGGCAAGTCAAAAAACAAAAACAAGGTACAGCCTACACAGACATTCATCATGGCAATGGAAATGCTTATCTTTGTTTTTGATTGATTCATCCTCATATTTTCTCGCAATGCTTATCTGTCCTTCCAGCTGGAGTTGCCTTTAGAGGAGTTTGAAGGGAAGATAAACAAAAGCAAACTGAAACTTGTGCTGACCAATGGAAAAATCCAAGGGTAAGCCTGGCAGCAGTTCAGTGTGTTTGTATTCATACCAAAGGTGATGATTCTTAACTGCTTATCCTCTGGTTTTAGTAAAAAGGGTGGCAGCAGAAATGGTGCAGGAAGGGCAGGAAAGTTCAAACATCTTGTGATGGAGGGATCTAGCATGTCTGAGTTGGAGTCTGAGGATGAGCTGCAGATTGACGAGACCCCTCCTCCACGGCGCAAGCCTGCAGGACCCAACAAGAAAAAGAAACTAAGCGGTGAACATTTTACATTAAAGTGTTATGATGTTGGAATGTTGTAGCTCTTGTTTGGACATAGTCAATATACCGGTAGCTGTTTAAACGTTTTGGACTATTAGTGAAATGTGGAGCTTAATATAGTTCAGTAGTTTAATTTCAAAGCCACATTGCTACTGTCACCTAACTGGTTTAAAATGTGCCTTCAGGTCTTCCAAGGAAGCTGCCCAGAGCCAAACCTTGCTCTGACCCCAATCGCATCAGGGAGCCAGGGGAGGTAGACTTTGACATTGAGGTGAGATTAAAATGGATACTGTAGCCGTCTTTCAGCTGTAGTAGCCTGTACTAATCAGTCAGTCAAAGATGAGTGATATAATTAACTACACGCTTCTACTCCCAAGTTTAGCATCTTGCTTTTCACACCTCATCACAAATGGTGTTTTTTATAATGGGCTTGCTTAAAATCACTCTCCACTAAACCAGATAACATTGGCTGCTTTATCACAGTCATGTATCCACATTGATCACTCAGGCTGGATCACAGCATCAGCATCCATAGGCAAAATGAACAACCAATCACTGATGAGATCGCCACTTTGGATTCTGTATTTTGGAACAGCAAGCCTATTTTATAAATGTTAGTTTGTGAACTCCTTACCTCTTCAGCCTGTTACTAGCATTACATTTTTGATTGTGATAACATAATCTCTGTCCTCCATACAATGGAATAAAACAATAGTAAAAGGCCTAATTATAGTTGTTGCATCTAAGAGTATATAAACTCCGCTGTCTGTTTGTTTATCTTGACATGTCTCGCATTCTTCATTAGCACTTTATTATTCCAGCACTGGTTAAACTGTAACTTCAGCATGTTTGTGCATGTGGCTCCAGGAGGATTACACCACAGATGAAGAGGCACTAGCTGCCCACGGGGTGAAGGGTGGCGCGGGGGGCATTCTGGACTTATTGAAGGCCAGCAAGCAAGTGGCAGGCTTGGACTCTTCAACACTCAGGTTAGAGATGTGATGGTTTTCTAGAATACATGTATTTCAATTATTTGTGTTTCATGGTGTACGAAGTTATGTTCCCACAAGTGGGAATACATGTCTCGCTGTGTTGTTGCAAGAATCCAATAACCTTTGAAACTTGCATAGTTCACATATTTGCAAGACTCTGATGCTACGCTATGTTTAGGAGGTTTATTTTTGAGATGACGAGTGATTGTTCAACTCTGTCCTTCTCTCAGTGAGGAAGCCCCAGCTTCTCCCAGCACTCGTGATGCCATACAGGGTATGCTGTCCATGGCCAACCCCCCTTCTTCGTCCTCATCTTCCTCCTCTTCGTCTCCCCTATCCATTTCTGGAGGATTGACAGAGGGATTGGGGGTGGTCAAGGAAAAGGGTGGCAAGGCTGTGTGGTTGACTGGAGGGGTGAAAAAGACAAAAACTCCTGAGAAGAAACCTGTCATCCAGCGGCCCGGGAAACGGCCAATTAAACGGCCCGTCCGTCACCTCAGTGAGGAGGACAGTCCTGATGACCAAGAGACTCTCGGCACCTGTTTCAAAGATTCAGACTATGGTGAGCAATATGTCAGTGACTAGTGTACAAATCAAGGCTAGTAAAAGCAATAAAGCTCTTTATTTATTTAGCCAATGTTTAATCATGGTAATCACATTTTCATTTCAGTTTATCCGTCCTTGGAGTCTGATGAGGAGGACCGTGCTAACAAGGCTAAGATGAAGCGGAAGAAAAACTGGGATGACACACCCTGGAGCCCGAAAGGTACGTGGATCAAACATTGCAACAATACAGATCAGAAGGCTTTTTAGCTCCGCTAGCTGAAGGATGACCGTTTTAATCATTATTTTCGTTTACAGCCAGGGTGATGCCCACCCTTCCCAAACAGGAACGACCTGCCAGGGAAGGAGCTCGAGTCGCCTCTGTAGAGACCGGTCTTGCAGCAGCTGCTGCCAAGCTGGCACAACAAGTGAGTTGTGAAACAAAGCTTATTGGTCTTTGAAGTATGTAGCAAGTGAATTATCTGGCGTCTTTGAAGAAAAGAAAAATACTCTTGTTTTTTCTTATTGGCTCTGCACCAGGAGCAGCAGAAACCTGCTAAAAGGAAGTACACCAAGAAGCAGCGTCCTCCCGCTCCCGTGGCCCCTCCTCCCCCCGTTCAGGCTGAGCCAGCCCCACCCTCACCACCACCTGCTCCAGAGTCTGCAGCAGACCAAAGCCCAGACAGGAGAATGGATTACTTCTCTGCTAGTCTGTTGGACCATGAATACACAGCAGGGCCAGGAACTTTTGGCCCTGGGGGCCCTCGAGGCAGCGGAGCACTGGCCCCTGGCGTTTTCCTTACTTCACGGCGACCTTCACTTTCTCCGCAGAACAGCAGCTCTCACTCTGCTACATCCCCTGCAAGTTTAGCCAGCCAGGGAGCAACAGGAGTTGGTCAAGGTAAGCATAAATGTAAAGCCCTGATAGCATCATTTCATATCTCTATGACTGCACCGTTTCTAATTTATTTTGTCTTTGACTTCAACGTAGGAAAACGTCCAAAGAAAGGACTTGCAACTGCAAAACAGAGACTTGGAAAAATTCTGAAAATTCACCGAAATGGAAAACTTCTCTTGTGAGAGATGTTGGAATTATGGCTAAAGACTTTTGAGTGGGAATGAAGAAAAACGCTTTTGTGAAAGAAGGTCTGAAGGAAATAGATAGTTATCTATATTTTTTACTCTAGATACATTTGTTTACTGTTTTCACATGTTATTGAACCTTTCTATATCTTGTCCTACACCAATCGCTCTGCCCAGCTAATTGCAACCTGTTTTGGCACCCCATTTATCAGAATATGCTAGTATTTTTAGAGGCACATCTGTGACTCTTGATGATCACATCTTGACATTGGCAATGGCAGATTGTGACAAGTGGACTTTACTTTAACTAGCATAATTAATTGACTGAACCCAATGGTTTCATTTATTCAGAATTGTTTTAGTTTATTTGTATTTTAGTGGCTCTATTTATGACAGAGATATTCCACTGTTCATCGTACATTTGAAAAGGGAAAGAAAAACAAATGGTAAAATGGTAAGGTAAAATGAGATGTCTTTATAGCCCTCACACACAGTCATGCAGTTGTAGTCTTCTTTTCAATGTCATTTTTACCTCAACAAAACATATTCTTGTGTGGTATGATGATGACAGGATCTTAATCATTACACAACTATAAACTGTTTTGAAAAAATTCAGTGTATGCACACACGGTCAGCACCCAGAAAGATGTTTATATAAAACATTTCCCTTAACATACTGCAATTCTACGCATTAAGTTCAAAGTGCCCGACTGATGCCAAGAGTAAAATCCTAGTTTTATTTATTTCGATATTTATTTAACAGAGCAGCATGTTGCCATCTCCCAACCTGTTTTAACATAGCATGCTTTTACCACCTTAACTTTTTGGTCCTTACTTTAATTATTTTCAACCACTTAATACCTGTACAAAAATGTATCCCTTGCTTAATTTTTTGTTAGTAGTTTTTTTACAGTTTATGTTGTCCTTGTAAATAATTGTAATATTTGTAATTTATATAGCTACATTGGAAGAGAAGAACAACATGGGATAAATAGACTAGTTTCATGCAGGTTTGCATCGTTTGTGCCCCAAATGTCGGCAGAAGTCTCGGGCCAGATATAGAGATGTCTTTCCACAGAATGTACTAGTTATAGAATGTTGGCAGAATTTTAGATTTAACTGTGTTAAAACATTGTGAAGGTGCAGGACATGAATCGATATGTACATATTTGTTGTAATTTAAGTTCTTTTATAGTCCAAAAACTTTGAAATATTTCTTAACATAACTTGTACATGATACAATGCTGTATTTGGTAAATATCAGAAATAGTTCATTTTTTATATTTGTACGCAGTAATTGTCATTCTTAGTTTGTCATGTCTTGTCAGTGTAATAGTTTAAATGTTCTGGAAAAAATGCCCTTGTTTGATTTCATCCATTTTGTTTTACATTATTATTGTTGATATTCACTCTTGTGTTGATGTGTACTGTGTTTTAAACATGATGTGTATAAAACGACCTGGAACAGATAAAATATACCTTGGGCAAAATGTATTTTTTCATTGAATTTATTTGAGAACAATTTCCTTAAAGTTTGATTCGTGGACCAAAATAATGGTTTTCTCTTTATTATGCTTTATTCTCCTGGAGAACCTGTTACTGGTGATTCTTCAATACGATTGTTTTACGAACAAATCTAAATAAAGTATAAATTAATAGTGATACACCACTTTAGATTTGATTATTTAAATGATTAGTGTTGACTTAAATGTTCCTGAATTCGTACAATTATTTCCACACCTAAAAATAATAAATAAAACGTTCCCAGTCATAAGGGTTTACGTTGTTTTTTTTCAGTCATTATTTTATATAGGTCAGTGAATTTAATCACAGTTTAAAAGTAAACTAAATGTAAAACAATACATGTTTTTCATAAATCCTGGAGAATTATGTGTCGTGCTTTTGTGTGCACATCTAAATCATTAGGACGATGCTGGAAATACCAGTTAAGGCTGTATGCCGTCTTCCAGATGAAGACGCATTTATATCGTTATTCTGTACAACAGTACAAGGGAGTGCCCTGGGTTAACGCAGCAGCAGGTAATCTCGCGAGATCCATATTATCCTACCACTCGCTAGTGCAAGATGGAGAAGCAAATGTAACACGCATTCGAGGTAAGCGTTAAGACTTATTCCACAGTATTGACGTGTGTTTTTGCTATCTGTTTCATACATTTCACTTCCTTAACAACTACCATCGATGATTCACACCCGTCACTGCCATCCGAGTCCACAAAACTAGTGGGTTTTAATTGTAAAGTACGGATCCTCTGCTATGTAAACCGCCATTTTTAATTTAGCCATGATCCCACTGATAGAGCATTGTGCGGAGCAAGGCTAGCTAGTTAGCTCGTGCGAAACCCGCAAATATACACGCCACACACATACACACACTCATGTTCACTGTGTGTGGGTATGTGCCCCTCTGTACAAGTCAAAGCGGTACCCTCGTCCAATGCCTACTCTCTTTCCTCGGGAATGATGGTACAATCAAATAAAATGTGTTTCAGTTTGCAGATATGGCTTAATCTGCCAACGTTAGCCATCAAAGTAACTAACAGTAGCAGTTTAAGCTAACGGGTAACCTAGCTAACGTCACCTAAATAGCTTTTAACTTTGCTAACGATAGCACCGCCATTGATTTAACTGCGTAACGTTGGGTGGCTACCTCAATAACATTGACACACAATGTGAGTTCATTTTACACGGTCACAACTAAGCTAACCAACTAGTGAGTAATACACGAGTTAGGAAATGTGGTAACGTTACTCAGACTAAGCTAACGTAAGCTAATGTTATCTTTGACGTAGCGTTGTTGTTAGTGGATGTTATAATTCAGGGATTTTGTACATGTATTGACTCGGTAAGCATTACAATGTCAAAAATGCTTACAAATAGTGACGCACATCACATTTACATTTATATGAAAAAAAGTAGTGATGCATCGCAGTGAAATCAGCCAAAATGATTTGTATGTAAATCTGTCAGCATCCGCTTTGGTCCTTGTCTTCCTATCACTCAGTGACCATTGCGATGACATGACAACAAAAGGCGTGAACTTGTTGCTAGGAATGCTGCATACTGTGTTGGTTTATCCTGTAAATACTGGCTGAGTGTATTCATTCATACGGCTGAGTGTATTCATTCATAGCAGTCTTAGGGTAGCTAGCAGAAAGGGGACCTTTTAATGTTTGTCTAAGAATGTACCTAAATTAATTGTATGTATGTATATCTGGCTTGTTCATAAGACATTCTGAATTTAACAATCAGTTCGCTTGAGAAGCCATATCAAAGACAAGTGTTAGTTGGGATTTGAAAGTGTCAATGGCAACATGTTAACAATATGTAACTGATTACAAGTTACACTTTAAACTTTGCTTATCAGTCATCATTATCAGAGTATTTCTTAATGTGGTTGGTTTGAAAGTTACTTTTTATTTTCACCAGCGTTGTTTGGTGTGTACACCTGTCAGTAAAGGTGTTTTTAATTTAAATTTTATTTTATATCTGATCAGATTTTTCATTTGTTTCAGATAGTTATAACTTATAAGACACTGCAAAGCAAGCTGAGGATGAGGGTGGTCAAACTATTGAACCAAAGCAGTTTCTGGTATGTACTGCTAACTTTTTTTACTGTTTATATACTGGTGTTTTTCTGAATTGTTTCCACAAGAAGTTGCACTGAAATTTGGTATATCAGAAATATTGTGTTCAGTAAAGACATTTTAAATGATTCACATCCATTATAATAATGAATGATTGTAAAGCATATTTTATTTCTATCATTTCATTTTACATTGTGAACTTGTGTTCCTCTTCATGTGTTCTTTATCCATCCAATGTGTCAGCTGTGGTTAGTGGTTAGTTGTAGTACAAAATGGTGTCAAATTTGAAAATAAATGCATTTTGTCAAGGAATAAATCAAACACAATATTTTACAGAAAGAGTAAACATTCTGTGGATTATTTGTTTTACTGCTACTGAATACAATTGATCAAGTGCATCAGTATTGAATGAAGATGGCCTTTTTGACATAATTACCATATTCCTCCCAATATTATAATTAACAGCTTGCATTACATTCCTGAACTTGTAACAACTCAAAGTGTGAATACAGGGTTTTTTTTCTGAGGCTCTAGTGAATCACATACTTAAGGGACTGTTGTGGAAATAGTGTTAAGATATTATGTAATCTACAGCGGTAAACATTACGTTAATGGGTTCATTAATAAACTTGTTCTACCATCATGATGTCAAGTAATTTTCAAATTCGTCCTCCTAGTTTTTTTGAAAACACGACTTTGAATGTGTGTTTTATTCATCATTTTAATTTTGGGGGCACTATTAGTGATCTTGTCCACTAAATGAAATGGCTGCTATTTAAAATGTACACCACCAATACAGGCCGATTCAAAAATTGTGTTTTCGGTATTGTGCATAAGCGTAATGCCCATCTCAACTTTTTGTTGAGATGGGCATTATAAGTCTATTGCATTTGATGCTTACCAAACATAACTGAATAATTATCAACAGTAAACTTAATAGTTACCAGTGCCATCATTAGGGAGCTTTAATCAGTTTATTGTTGGCTTGTTAAGTCACCATATGTCCTCCAGTTTGAGTAAATATGCTGTTAATGTGGGCTTCCATTTTAATGATTTTATCAAATACTGCTGCTGTGTTGATGCATTGTGTTTAATTACTCAGTTTTTGGTGGTTCCTTGTTCACTATCACGTATACGTTTTACCACAATAAGTTGCATGTGTATTACTTGTGATGCACATAGAAAATGCATGTTCCCATGGTGATGTTGGCATTTCTGCACCTAATAGATTTAGATGACAATTACGAAGAAATATGAAGTCATTTTTAAATGTATTATCGTGTTTTTGGTCGTTTGCTTAGGGTGTTGTCAGTTGGAGACCTGTGTTGATCATACATGTTAAATACTGCATAAAATAGTGAGGTGTTGCGTTTCATTTAGGGCCAGATGCCCTAACTTAACATGCACTGCATCGATAAACAGTGGCTACTCATTCCCTGCCGTAACGTTATTCACTTTTTGCACACTACCCAGAGTCATGATGACTGTGCCAACAGCTAGTGCCTATGTGCTATGGAAACAAGCGCGGATACTCTGAAAAATATTTTAACGGAGGGATGAACACACTCCTTTATCGAGTCGATAGCCGGTAGTCAATTTGCCTGAACGAAAACAGAAAATAAAACTAGCAGGGTCACGTTGTACCCGTCCGACAATGATTCAGCGAGTTATTATGCGTTTCTGCTTGCTATTCAACTAACGGCAGCTAGCTTGCTAGCTAGCGCGTGCTACGACTGTCTAGCCGAGAACCCGGGTAAGAGCCTTTACAAAGTAATGATACCCGCTTCAACGTTCTAGACACACATCAATCTGCCTGTCGCTGGTGAACGAATAGTGTTTACTGTTTCGTTTTTACTAGAAGCAGGGATGGTGCAAGAGTGGTGAGTGCGGGCTTATTTTGCGGCCTGTGCAGCCCCGACCTAAATTAGTTAAGAGTCAGCTCAGGACAGCATGGTGAATTTGTGAGATCTGAATTGACAGCTGTGGAACAAATGGTGAACACGGCTTGAATGTTGGTTAGCCACATTGTATGTGTCTCGTTGATCACACTCGTGCATTGTTTTTTGACTTTGTTAAGTTTTATATTTGGTCGTATGCAAATGCTTTGAAGTATTTCGAGAGAGAATCGTTTGCTAACGTTACCGGTAGCTCAGTGTTAGCTGGACAGTGGCTAACGTTCACTCCGTAGCAAACGTTACTGATCGTTTCTTTGGCACGTTGAATATCCCAACGGTTTTTTTTGTAAGACATTTTGTTAGCTAGTGACCAAGGAAACCGATTTTGTCTGTAACTACGGACGGCAGACAATCATGTATGTAGTGACTTGTTAACAATAGGTAAATAACGTTATGCTGTTAGCAGGTTGACGTTAGCTAGGTAGCTATAACTTAAACCTGTCAGCGTCAAGTCACTCGAGTTGGAGAAAGGAAAGCATAGAATGGGCAGTGAACTGTTTTTTTTAATAATATATACAACTCGTATCACATTTACGAGACACTTTAGACAGTGGGTTTTTGGACATAATATGGGGCCTCATCTGATTTAATTAACTTTGTGTCGTATGTTGCTTGTTAGCCACCAGCTAACGATCTGTCTCAGTCTGCGTTGTAAATATCATATGTAGATAACCACATTTCGTATCGTTATCACATTGTAACCAGTGATTGTGATAAGTCATCAGTGAGCTGATATGAGCTGATTTTTAAAGTAATATGCCAATATCCTTACCCTTGCTTATTGTCTGGGGGCTTTGTCATAATACCAGATTGCTAACTGATTGTGTAGTATTTTTTCCCACTAAGTACATCATGTATACATTTCCATTTATAGTCACAACAATAAAGTGTTACGCAACATTGTATGGATTGGATGCTCTCCAATTAATTGACAGTTGTACCTACAGCTCTCTTGAAAACCATCATTTATTTGAAATTGACGCATCTTAAAAGTAAAATAAAAAAAAATGTCTTTATTTGTGGAATAGTGGACACTGTTTAATTGTTTTTCAATTGTTTTTCAATTGTTTTGCAGGTAACCTGACTAGAACATGCTGTATTGCCAAATTATTCTCTGTAAGTACATTTCACAATTCAAGTTGTGTAGATATATATTTGTAGATGTTTGAATATTGTCTTATCTTTATAAATGATACATCTAAGTAGTTCTGTATTACATTGAAATTCAGTATCACAAGTATTTTTTCTGATGTTCATAAACATTTCTCAACAGGAGCAACAAATAGAGATTATCGACAATGAAGGTCGACAGAAGCAAGTTAAAGAAAACTCCTACGGAAGCTGTGAGTATGCTTAATATTTGCTGTGTGTCCATTCCTGGCCACATTATTGCCTAATGAGACAAAGGAAAGCAGATTCCAAACTGTAAGGCATCTACTTGCGCTCAACTATGTTAACCCAATTATTTGAGTGCCTTGACACCTCTCAGTTTAGGGCGCAGTCATAGTTTGGCCCTGCTCATCAGAAGAACAAAAAGTATTCGATGGCAGCAGGGTTATCTCCTACTTGGGGTTTCCAAAAATTGGCCATAGATGAATATAGATTTGAATTGTGTTTTTGGCCACACTCTTAGCAATAAATACATTGCATAATATCGGCCATTTTCAGGTTTAGGCGTTTAGTTGCTAGACAGGTAGTTGAGCAGGCAGGGATTACAGACGCCAATGATGTTTGGGCATTCAGCTCTGGGGACAGACTTGCTATATGTCAGGGGTGTGACCAAGTATCACAGCCCTGTTAGGCTTCTTCTCTGGACTGCAGCCACACATTCAGGGATGTTTTCAATATGAGGAGCAATAATCTTCGACCTCAATATCATGGTCAATAGTGTTCATTTAATTGTAAGAAGCTAACATTTTGATTGCTATTCATTTTCCATTATATGAACTGAGTTCACTTAAGAGCATTGCTCAAGTGTGTTGATAGTTTTCTATATTCCTATGTGGTCAGTGCCCTAACAACTGACTAACCATTTTGTGCTCTTTTGGGACCAACAGCCTGCTGACTGCAGGATTCTAATAGAGAAGCTCAAGGCCTGCAATGATGAGCAACTATTGGTTGAACTGCAGCACATCAAGACCTGGAATATTGGCAAGGTAAGCCTCAAAGAAAAGAGGGTGTGGCATCTCCCTCAGTCTTTCCCTGGGAACCCTCTCTTAACAATACATTGGTTACATCAGGGTTCATAGCTCAGTCAATTATTTTGTTGAATATCGCAGACATGAGTGTTGTATTTTGGGAATATGATAGGCAGTGGGACTTTTCTAAGACTAGGTCTAAACTAAACTTATTTTTTTCAAATGCTGTTTTCAGGAATATATATTCTCATTCGTATTTACAGATTGATCTCTTAGAGACCTCTGCCATCAGTGAAATAACATCCTCTTTTTAGTCCACAAATTCCAAATACTTATTCTTTATGTTGTATGTCTAACTCAGCATACAAATATGTTGATGAATTTGAAATGTAAATACCATCTGCGCTTGCTTATTTTAGATGTTTAACAGTATTCCTTTCTCAAGCCACTGACCCAAACATAATTTTTTTAAGTGGTGAAATCCAAAACATGTGTAAACAGGCAGAGGTTAATGACAACAGCTTTATCGAAATTTAAGGTCTACTGATCACATAGAATAACATTTTAAAGCATATACAGGGGAGTGGTTTTCAGCAGTTTTATTTAAACATTGTTGCTTCATGTCACAACTGTAAAATCTATTTACTGTAACCATTTGAACAAAAAAAAGAAAACAAGCCTACTGGGATACACATTGTGTGGCATTTTATAGTAGATGATAGAAATTCATCCATTCCAAAATCCTTCCTTATTGGAAATAAGCCCCCTCTAAGGATATTAAAGCATACTATTTACTTGATTGATCTCTGAAGGTTCCTTGTTTGTCTCCAACAGTGTGAGCTGTACCACTGGGTGGATCTACTGGATCGCTTTGATGGCATTCTGTGTGATGCAGGCCAAACGGTGGAGAATATGTCATGGCTGCTGGTGTGTGACCGTCCTGACAACGGACAGCTCAAAGCCCTGCTTTTGGCAGTGCTCAACTTCACAGCCCTGCTCATTGAGTATAGCTTCTCTAGGCACCTCTACAGCTCCATAGAGGTAGGCTTGAGTGTAGTACACTCACCACTAATGTTGTTTTTTCTAGACTGCATATGTCACAAAGAAAACAGTAAGCAGCTCCCTAACTTTAACCCTCTTTTTATCTTACAGCACTTAACCACCTTGTTAGCGTCATGTGACATGCAGGTGGTCCTGTCTGTGCTGAACCTGCTCTATGTGTTCAGTAAGCGCTCAAACTACATCACAAGACTAGGATCCGACAAAAGGACGCCTCTACTGGCCCGTCTGCAACACCTGGCTGAGGTCTAGTGAATGCCATTGTTTCCCTATTTCCAAAGTTCTTGCTGTCCCTCAAGAGAAAGAGCTGTATTGTTTATATTCTCTTTGTTGTCTTCTGTAGAGCTGGGGAGGAAAGGAGAATGGCTTTGGCCTGGCTGAGTGCTGCAGGGATCTGCTTATGACGGTAAGAATTTTTAATAAGTGATGTTTAATAACTATCTATAAATACCTAAAGATATGTGGCTATTAGTATAATGTTTTATTATAACAGGCAAATTAACCACTCTTTTTAAACAATCTTCCCTTTTGATGCTGCCTCCTGATGATACATGAGCAGAAATACCCGCCCAGTGCCACCACACTGCACTTTGAGTTTTATGCTGAACCGGGCCCTGAGGTCAAAGTAGAGAAAAAGGTAAACCATGACATTCATTAATGCAATCACTATGTCATTAAAACTATATTTGTGTCGTTTGGGATATTTTGTTGATGACTCAACTTTTCTGAACCTCCTTTTTTTTCCAGACAAGTAGTAATACACTACACTATATACACATCGAGCAGCTTGACAAGGTACAGTCAGATACGAATTGTGTCATTACCAGTTGATTAATAATACCTTGGGGTCTCCATCTTACACATGTTATGTGTCTCTCAGATTTCAGAGAGCCCATCTGAGATTATGGAGTCGCTGACGGTGATGTACAACATCCCAAAAGACAAGCAGACGCTGCTGTTCACACACATTCGTCTGGCCCATGGTTTCTCTAATCACAAGAAGAGATTGCAGGCTGTGCAGGCCCGTCTACATGCCATCTCTATACTGGGTGAGTAAAAGTCATCTGAAGATAAAGCGACAAAGGGTTTTGTTCCAAGTTTTAACTTCTGACGTTTTCTGTTTCCTTGCAGTGTATTCAAACGCACTCCAAGAGTCAGCCAACAGTATTCTATATAATGGCTTGATAGAGGAGCTGGTGGATGTATTACAGATTACAGACAAACAGCTTGTGGTAAGAAAGTAGTTTGCTTTTGCTGCTTAATGACAATGTTACTTCACTAAATTCCACATTAGCAGTTACATTATATTTGTAAAATGACATCGGATATCTTTTGCTTTGTCAGACTTTTCTTAATGTGTGTATTGTCTACTGTCTAATGCAGAACTATCTTCAAGGTCTTTCGTTTTCAGTTATATCAAAGTGAAACTGAAATGTATTTTGTTCTTTAGGATATCAAGGCAGCATCTTTGCGCACTTTAACTTCGATTGTCCATCTGGAGAGAACACCCAAGCTTTCCAACATCATCGACTGCACTGGCACTGCCTCCTACCATGGCTTCCTGCCAGTGTTGGTGCGCAACTGTATTCAAGCAATGATCGGTGAGAACAGTTAAGTGTGTGACACAAAATCAAAATAGGACAATTCAAATGGAAGCTTGGTTGGTAACTTTTGAATTTGACTTTGGTAGATCCTCTGATGGAACCCTACCCGCACCAGTTTGCCACTGCACTCTTCTCATTCCTCTACCACTTGGCTAGCTATGATGCTGGAGGGGAAGCCCTTGTGTCCTGTGGCATGATGGAAGCTCTCCTGAAGGTATGTCCTGGTCCTATGGATTCTAAATGACCAAATAAAGTTGTTTTTTGTTTAATTAAGTCTTCCCTTTTAATTATCTTTTGTAGGTTATCAAGTTTCTTGGTGATGAACAGGACCAGATCACCTTTGTGACACGAGCAGTGCGGGTCGTGGACCTCATTACCAATCTTGACATGGCTGCCTTTCAGTCCCACAGCGGCCTTACCATTTTCATCTCTAGGCTAGAGGTTGGTTATGCATTTTGGATTTTCATTCGTGACACAACAGCATTCCACTAGAGAATCCCTGAAACGTCTGCCAAAGATGTGGTGTCACTCATTCTTCCATCTTTCTCTCGATCTCTACGCAGCATGAGGTAGACCTGTCGAGGAAAGAGTGCCCTTTCGTCATCAAGCCAAAGATGCAGAGGCCCAGTGCAACTGTGGAGTCGGAGGACATGGAAACAGACACGGAGAGTAAGTTATTAATTCCTAATATCTATGCAATGTTCTCACTGTTATAAATGATTAAGTCTATTCTAAAAATGCTAGGCTATTTGTCTTGTGCCAAGTTAGAATGGATTATGAAGATTCTCCTGGCTGTTGTTGATGTGCTTAACATTATGATTTCTTACAGTGTCAGAAGTTGCAATGGATAGCAGCCCTGGACCATCCACATCTTCTGGTTCCAGATCAGAAACGGACCAGAAAGCACAGGGCAGTGCTGCCAACGCACCTCGTCCAGGTAAATACAGTAAACGCGCACAAACAATTAAAAAAACACTTTCCACTAATGTACTCTATAATCACCATGACACTCTATGTCTCTCTAGGTGTGCAGTGTATCCCCCAGAGGGCAGCCCTGTTAAAGTCAATGCTAAATTTCTTGAAGAAAGCCATCCAGGACCCTGCCTTTTCTGATGGTATTCGCCACGGTGAGTCATTGGCATCCTCTTACTTGTTCTATAAGCTCAAGCCTTGTGTACATCTTATTTATGCATGGTAAACGGATTCAAAAATAGTTGCCTTTAAGATCTAATATTTCATTATGCAAATGTTGATTTCTAACTTGTCTATGTGCGATCTCTTTCTCTCCAGTAATGGATGGGTCCTTGCCTACCTCACTCAAGCACATCATCAGTAATGCAGAGTATTATGGCCCTTCACTGTTCCTCTTAGGTGAGTTCACAGTAGCGCTTCAGAAAAGCTCTTTAACTGCTCTTCTGACTCAGCAGTGAGAAAGTGTTCTCACTTGACTCGGGAGATGCAAAGTCATATTAAACTTGGTGTCAACTGGAGAAGTGAATTTAATGTTTTGACATGTCATTGTTGGCATTGTTTTGGATTATAATCTCTTTTTTAAATGTTTCTTGTCTGTCCTTCTGATTTATAGCGACGGAGGTTGTGACGGTGTTTGTGTTCCAGGAGCCTTCCCTGCTCTCCTCCCTGCAGGATAATGGTCTCACTGATGTCATGCTGCATGCCCTTCTCATCAAAGACGTGAGTTTCCTCCACTGCCCGTTTCCTCTTTTTTGCTTGTCTCTTGCTGTTATTGAGTTCAATTTCATTATTGGCTGTCTATTTTTCTTTCTCTGTCGAAGCGCCTGTACTGAATTTGATATCTGAAATTGTTAGTTAAGTTGAAATACTTCCGATTTGTGTGGTCCATTGGCTGACCCAGGTTATGGTATGTTGTTTCAATGACCTAATCATCCTGTTATGTGAAGAAGGGTCACAATGAGAGCCTGCATGTTGATGTTTAGGTCTTTAACGGGGAAAGGGGAAATAAGATAATTCTCACTTTCCCCCTATTACATCGTTTTCTTTGATTTTGTTTTTGATGAATATGCAATTTACTCTAATTGCATATTCATCAGATCTCTTTTTTCCAGGTTCCTGCTACCCGTGAGGTGTTGGGTTCTCTTCCCAATGTGTTCAGTGCCCTGTGCCTGAATGCAAGAGGCCTGGGCTCCTTTGTTCAGTGCCAGCCATTTGAGCGCCTCTTCAAAGTGCTTTTGTCCCCTGACTACCTGCCTGCCATGCGACGGCGACGTAGCTCGGACCCATTGGGTGAGTCAGACTCTCTGTTCTCTGTTTGGATGCATTCACACCGAATCAGGCACATTCAAGGAAAACGAAAGTTAGCCCACATTCAAATGAATTGGAGTTTTAGTTTTTGGTGCTCAATGGGTTTAATGTGAACGCATCCTCATTCAGTTGTTTACCCTTGGAGCCTGCTTAATTGGAGGACATGTTATAATATATTATTGTTTCTTAACTTCAGGTGACACTGCATCCAACTTGGGCAGTGCTGTGGATGAGCTCATGAGGCACCAACCAACTTTGAAGACTGATGCTACTACTGCCATTATAAAGGTAGTGTACCTTCATTTACAAGAAATCTTTTGGCAAATGTTTTGTGGAAGTTATTAAAGCTAAACCTTTGTTACAGTTACTGGAGGAGATCTGCAACCTAGGTCGAGCCCCTGAGTACATCTGCCAGAAACCGTCTATCCAGAAAGCCGATGGCACTGTGGCGGTGCCCCCAGCGCGCTCCAGCCATGCTGCTGAAGAAGCCTCAAGTGAGGATGAAGAAGAAGAGGAGGCCCTCCACACTTTCAGCCAGCAGCAGGGGGAACCAGAGAGCACCAGACAGTCAGTGCCACTTGAACTGTATGACGCTGAGTTCATATCACACTAGAATAGAAAAACAAGTCTTTACCGACTTCGATTTTTGTTCAAGTCAATCGACTACATTTCAAATACTGTAGTTGGTAGTCATTTTCATTATATTAATTTGTGTTTGCAGGGTGGTTGGCACTGAAGAGCGGATACCTATTCCTCTGATGGACTATATCCTGAATGTGGTGAGTGTGGATTCTTGGACCGTTCAGTATGGTTCTGATCATATTGTGAGATCTTCCCCCTGTAAAGCAGAGCTCACCTAATTTCAGTCAGTCACTGATTTGTGATGCATGTGTCTTCTAGATGAAGTTTGTGGAATCCATTCTAAGCAACAACACCACAGACGACCACTGTCAGGAGTTTGTCAACCAGAAGGGTCTGCTACCTCTGGTTTCTATTCTGGGCCTTCCCAACTTGCCCATAGACTTCCCTACGTCTGCTGCCTGCCAGGCTGTGGCTGGGGTCTGCAAGTCTATACTGGTGAGCACAATGGATACATCACTGTTGTGACTTTTTTTATTCATTGTATATATTAATCAGGAACTTCAACATGAAATTGATGATGAGGAAAATGAAAAATCAGTTGGCTGAATTGAGACTAAAGCGTTTCCCTTAATGTCTCCCCCTTAGACTCTCTCTCATGAGCCTAAGGTACTCCAGGAAGGCCTTTGCCAACTGGACAGTATCCTGTCGTCTCTGGAGCCACTCCATCGACCAATCGAGGTGCCGGGTGGTTCTGTGCTTCTCAGAGAACTGGCTAACGCGGGCCATGTCACCGATGCAACGTTGTCCGCCCGTGCGACACCACTGCTCCATGCTCTTACTGCAGCACATGCCTACATCCTCATGTTTGTGCATACTTGCAGAGTAGGACAGGTAAATACGGGTGCATTTCCTATACAACCAGAATTGATAACCCCTCAACCAACCTTGTAGAGAAATGTTATCTTTTATGTTTATGACCAAAGATTAAAAAAAAAAAGTTCTGTATGTTTAAGTTGTGAACAATAAAGCATGCAGAGGGGTTATTTTTTTAAAGGCCTGGTTTTTCATAGAATTTAGAGAACTATTTTACATTTTTTCAAGCTATGGAGGTTTTTCTTCAATTGTACTGTTTCAGAATGGTTCAGCAGATTTACAGGTTTCTGTTCTCTTTCCAAACAGAGTGAGATCAGAGCTATCTCAGTCAACCAGTGGGGATCCCAGCTGGGCTTGAGTGTTCTCAACAAGCTCAGTCAGCTCTACTGCTCTCTGGTGTGGGAGAGCACCGTGCTGCTGTCCCTTTGCACGCCTAACAGGTACATCTCTTGTCCTTTTAGCCCCTTTCTTTAAAAGTTAGATCCGCTGTGACTCTAACACCTCCTGCTTGTGCTCAACAGTCTGCCTCCAGGATGTGAGTTCGGCCAGGCTGACATGCAGAAACTGGTGCCCAAAGACGAGAAGCCATCGAGCAGCACTGCAACAACTGCAGCTGCTGGTTCCAGGAGAACCGGTAATTTAATCATTTCACTTTGTTCATCAAATTCCACCATGTCCCTGGAACACAACTTCAATCTCCTCCTCCTACCTATCCAGCAGATTCTGAGGCGGTGACGGTGGATTCATCAGCCGGTGGGCTGTTGGAAGGCATGGGTCTAGATGGGGACACCTTGGCTCCCATGGAGACGGACGAACCCACTGCAACGGACCCTAAGGCCAAGTCCAAACTTACCCCAGCTATGGCCACCCGCATTAAACAGATTAAACCACTCCTCTCTGGTAAGATACATTCTTTCAGACACAATCACATTTTGCTTCAGTTTATAAATTAACAGATATATCTTCAATATCAGAATGTCTTAAATTGCCTTAAATCCCCATTAGGTTATTGTCTCTCACTAACTTTTTGTGTATTTCCAGCTTCATCTCGATTAGGCCGGGCTCTGGCTGAGCTCTTTGGCCTGCTGGTGAAGCTGTGTGTGGGGTCTCCAGTGCGCCAACGTCGCTCCCACCATGCCACGAGCACAGGAACCACCCCCACGCCTGCTGCCCGGGCCACTGCCTCTGCCCTGACCAAGCTCCTCACCAAGGGTCTGAGTTGGCAGCCACCACCCTACACACCCACTCCTCGTTTTAGGTAAGAGCCCTTTGTATTAACTTAACACAGTTTGTCATTGTTAAATGAGCTTGGCACACAGAGCTGACCTTTTTATGTTGTTTTTTTTGTCTGGCAGGCTGACCTTCTTCATCTGCTCAGTGGGCTTCACATCCCCCATGCTGTTTGATGAGAGGAAGTACCCCTACCACCTCATGCTGCAGAAGTTCTTCTGCTCTGGAGGTCATGATGCCTTATTTGAGTAAGTCCCTTGATGTAGTGCATATAATAGTCAAAAACACATTTTAATATTCATGTGCTTGCTTAAGTCCACAGCATACGAATGTGTATTTTAAACAGGAGTTTTGCTTTTTGATTTGCTTTTGTGCAGGACATTTAACTGGGCTCTATCGATGGGTGGGAAGGTGCCTGTCACTGAGGGTCTGGAACATACTGATCTACCCGATGGGACAGGGGAGTTTCTGGATGCCTGGTTAATGCTTGTGGAAAAGATGGTGAACCCGAGCACTGTGCTGGACTCACCCCATTCCCTGCCAGCTAAAATGCCTGGAGTCACACCCACCATGCCCCAGTTCAGCGCCCTTCGGTTCCTCATAGTCACACAAAAGGTACGTTTCCACTTACTAGATCATTCAAATTATTATTTTGCTGCTTGCAGATAAAATAGATCAAACTTGAGGTTGATGTGAAATCAAGTTACATAACGCAGGGAACACCAGGGAAATGGGAAAGATGGACTCTCTAAGATACCCCCCTGCTCCCTTTTCAAAAAAGGTTGTTCTCTATTGTCGTTTGCATACCATGTCGAGTAAAGGACAAAAAAGAACTTATCAAACTTTGTTAAAATCTGCCAGTTTCAAAATATCACAAGTTGTGCAATATAGAGTAATATAAATAACAGCTAGGTGATTTGAACTCCATGTAAACATGACCCTGTTGAAATGCTAGTTATGGTTTATTAGCAAAAGGTATGACCTTCACGCAAAAGCTTACTTTGGATATTCACTAGGTCAGAATGATTGAAACCAAAAAACTATTTACATTAGTTTAGTACAAAGAAAACGGTAATACTAGAGCTGTACTTGTAAATATCAAATGTATATCGTGTTTTTAAACATGTTGATATTGTATATAAATTAGTAGTAGGACAAAAATAATACTAGCATTTTATTTTCCATTGAGAGGATTTGCCATGAATGATTGTAACACAGTCTCTCCTTTTATTAAGGCTGCATTCACCTGCATCCGCAGTCTGTGGAACAGGAAGCCACTGAAGGTGTATGGAGGCAGGATGGCTGAATCCATGCTGGCCATCCTCTGCCACATCCTGAGAGGGGAGCCTGTTATTCAGGAGCGTCTGTCCAAGGAGACGGTGCGCCCGGAGGAGGAGGCGGCGGCTGCTGCTGCGGCTGTGGCTGCTGTGCCCTCCACTGTTTCCCTGGCACCAAGCGGGGGGGCCCCTGGAGCATCTACAACAGCTGGAGAGGCACCGGCCGTGGCTGCAACAGTACCTGCGGTGCCGGCAGGAGGATCAGCTGATGATTCAACCAATTCTACCCCCCGCCGTGATCCCCAGGTTAACCAGGCCCAGCTCACACAGGTATGTGGGAAAGTTTGCTGACACTCAAACACTTTCAGAAAGTGGGTTTTCTGATGCCTGTGGTTTCTTTTTGTTACTCCTAATATATTGTACGATTTGTACACACATTGCCGTAACGCATTCCTGCTCTCTTTTGAAATTGGAATTGTGTACACCTTCAGCTTGCTGTACCACCACAGCAGGCTGTTAAGACATCGCCGGTTACCTATATAATATTATTTTGGCATTGTCCAGTTAGCCAGACACTAGTAAGGAAGTGCTGTGTCTCCCATCTTATTCCCCATATTTTGCATGCACTGATTCCTGGGCAATAATTAGTCTTATAACAGGAAATGTGGAGTGAGACAGAGAGGCTGCCACAGGCCCGCCAGCTGCATCTCCAGCAGGTATAAGAGCCATCAGGGAGAGTGGGAGAAAGTTAGAGGAAAGATTAAGCTAGGGAAAGAGTAAAGGACCAAAGGATCTCTTTTAGAGGCAGTTTGTGACAGTTTGATCTGGTTTTTTAGAGACATTATAGAAGGACGATGAGGAGTGAATGAAAAAATGTCTCTGCATCTTTCATAAGGATTAGAGGTATCACAATGCAATTGAAACATTTATTTCCAGCGCAGACTGCTATGCCCAGTCTTGATATCTAAAGATAAACGGATCATTGGTTTTATTCCTGGACAACTGTGTTTTATATCTAATGTCTATGCAGCATTGTGTTGTCAATGTGCTGCCTGCTTTTTTTTCAGTCAGGTATGCAAATTTACAATCCTGCTTTTTGATTCTGGTGATTTAAATCAGCATCTCATTCTGGTAGATTAAGAATCTAAATTGTGACACCTCTTATAATGATAGCAATGCTCTTTGAGTTCCCCTTTCAATTCATGACATGTTTCAGTCCTTATCATTTGAGCCTCATAATACCCCCTTCTTTATAGCTGCGCTCGCTCCTGACCTCATCTCTGTTAAATCTGTTTATTTCAAAATGCTTCATCTTTTTACGTGTCCTTTTAGCTGATGGATATGGGTTTCTCCCGTGAGCATGCCATGGAGGCCCTACTGAACACAAGCACCATGGAGCAGGCCACAGAGTACCTACTCACTCACCCTCCTCCACTTCTTGGTGGAGCAGTAAGGGTAAGAGATCATAAATAGAAATGAGCACGTACTTCCGTTCTTATTAACTGTGCAAGTCATATTCAAGCAGCTGACATTGTTCTCCATGTTTCATCTAGGACATGACTATGTCAGAAGAGGACCAGATGATGAGGGCCATTGCCATGTCACTTGGACAAGAGGTCAGCATGGAGCAGCGATCCGACTCTCCTGAGGTGTGGCCTCCTAACTTCTCAAATTGCATGCAAAAACATTTCACTTTCAACTGTCTGATGCTTAATGAACCCCAAACATAAGAAAATGGTACCGATTAGCTGAGCAGCCGCTGAGATGATTTCTGTGTCCTTCAGGAGGCAGCACGTCGGCGCGAGGAAGACGACAGGAGAGCCAGGGAGCGGACAGAGGAGGAGGAGGCCCGCTGCCTGGAGCGCTTCATGGAGGCTGAGCCCCTGGACCCCAAGGAGCTGCACACCTTCACCGACTCCATGCTGCCTGGCTGCTTCCATCTGCTGGACGAGCTGCCTGACACCGTGTACCGGCTCTGTGACCTGCTGATGACGGCCATCAAGAGGAGCGGCCCCGAGTACAGAGAGCTCATCCTCGGACAGGTCGTCCACCAGGTCAGTGGAGAGTTGATGGTTCACATTGCAGTCTGCTCTAGAGAGATTACTATATGTACATGTTCAGAGTTAAGATTCAATGACTTGGAGGATGCAAAATATTAATGTACATATATATATATACATTCCTTTTTTCAGATACATTTAAAGTTGAGCTCTACCGAGTCTGTTCATTATTCATTTTGAATAAGCACATTCTGAACATCTGTATCAGTGTTTCTAACTACCTGTTAACAGGATGTCTGCAATTAGACTGCCAAGTACTTTAGCTTAAATATCAAATTGAGAGCTGTTGTAAAATTGGAATTTGATTGAAAAACAGTGTATCTTTGTTTCTGTAATTGGTTTAGCCAACGTCTTGAATGCAGTTAACTTTGTGATCCATTCTGTATGCTGTGATCATTCATTACAATTGACCATGGAAACATCTTTAAGTCTTGGCAATAGAAGCACAACATTCCTGTGTTCCTGATTGTGTGTGTGTGTGTGTAGGTGTGGGAGGCAGCAGATGTGCTCATCAAGGCGGCTGAGCCCCTGACTACCAGTGACACAAAGACGGTCTCTGAGTGGACCAGACAGATGGCCACACTGCCACAAGCCTCCAAGCTTGCAACAAGAATTCTGCTTCTGACGTTGCTTTTTGAGGTAACAGAAAGGCATCCATTAAAAATGTTATCCTTCAAACGTAATTCATAGAAGAATTGTCTTGTTAATCTACACAGCCTTAACAATCACTTGTTGGTTTTTGTTTCTGCAGGAGCTGAAGCTGTTGGGTGCCAGAGTGATCGAGAACAGTGGGATTCTTAACTTGCTGATAAAGCTGCTTGAGGTCGTACAGCCCTGTCTTCAGGCTGCTAAAGAACAGAAAGACATCCAGACACCAAAGTCAGTTCTTCAGCCTCACATACTCATTTGAACTTGAAAATTATAAACCGAATATTCTCTAGAAGAGCCCTAATTTGTTTGTTAGGAATTTGTACTAATCCTATCAAATGACATCCCTTTTCTGCAGATGGATCACACCAGTGCTGTTGATCATTGACTTCTATGAGAAGATGGCAGTCTCTTCAAAACGCAGGGAACAAATGAACAAGGTAAAAGTCTACCTTATAAAACCAAGCCTCAGGCACAGATTGCATTTGTAAAGTTAGAAACTAACCTGTTAGGTTACAAGTACAGGTTTAGAAAAACATGCACTATGTCTTCATTGATTTGGAAACATGCATTCATTCAATATGTTTGTACTTTGAGGTACATTCTGTAAGTTACCACATTGTTTTCTGCTAAAGGCCCTTTTTTAATGCACTTTCTCTTTATTCAAGACTTGAACATTCGAAGTATTTAGATAAGAAGATGATAATTTTTGTGGACAAATTATGGTAATAAATGTTATTTCAAACAACCTTGCTTCAAGAATTCATTTCGTTTTGTTTTTGTCCAGAGTTATGGACAAATTGTTTGGTATTTTGTGTACCTCTTTAGTCAAATGAATGAGTTTTCTTTTTGTCTGCCTCTAGTATCTGCAACCCAACGGGAATAACTGGCGTTGGTTTGATGACCGCTCCGGCCGGTGGTGCAGTTACAGTGCGTCGAACAACAGTACCATTGACTCTGCATGGAGAGCTGGGGAGAGCAGCGTCCGCTTCACAGCTGGCCGCCGGAGATACACTGTGCAGTTCAACACCATGGTGCAGGTATTCACCAACACTTTGTTCACTGCCTGAGAATACCCACACACTAGTGCTGTATGAATGTTATGGTTAGTTGTGTTGGTAGAGTTAGCTTGGTTCCCTTTGATGATTTATTATCTTTCTTTGGGGCAGGTAAACGAAGAGACTGGTAACAGGAGGCCGGTGATGTTGACGGTCCAGAGAGTGCCTCGTCTGCCCAAGCCCGCCAAGGCTGGTAGCATTACTGACTCAGAGAGAGAAGAAGGAGAAAAGAGCAAAGTGGAGGAAACCCAGACTGACCTGGACTCCGGAGTAGCAGTGGAGATGAGCGTTCCTAAGGATGAGTCCAGCCAGCTGAAGGAGACCCCAACCGGCCCCTCACCTTCCCTGGAGACTGAGAACTCTCAGAGCGCTGATATTGTCGTACAAGGCCTGACCGAGGACATGACCACTGTTCTTATTCGTGCCTGCGTCAGTATGATTAGCGTTCCTGTGGACCCAGACACCCTACACGCCACACTGCGTCTGTGTTTGCGTCTTACACGCAATCACCAGTACGCTATGATGTTTGCTGAGCTGAAGAGCACCCGGATGATTCTGGGGCTGACGCAGAGCTCCGGCTTCAATGGCTTCACCCCGCTCGTTACCCTGCTGTTCAGGCACATCATAGAAGATCCCGCAACTCTGAGGCACACCATGGAGAAGGTTAGTCTCTTTAAGTCTCTCATCGTTTTTAAATGGATCTCACACTAAGTATATAGTCTTAAGATATCTTTAAAAATTCTTAACAAGCTTTTGTATCAGGTTGTGAGGTCCGCCGTGACCAGCGGAGCAGGAAGTACCACCTCAGGAGTTGTGTCCGGAAGCCTTGGTTCCAGAGAAATCAATTATATCCTTCGCGTCCTGGGCCCCGCTGCCTGCCGCAACCCAGAATGCTTCGCTGAAACTGCCAGCAACTGTGTGCGCATCGCTCTGCCTGCACCACGGGGAGCCGGCACAGGTGAGTGTGCAAGCTTTTCTTACAAGGTGCAGTGACTTTAGGTTAGAGTTGACGTTACGTGTACTCTAGATTGGATTGATAGATTTATTTAGTTTTCCCGTTGTTTTTAATGTAAGATAAGCTCATCAAATCTTCTTTTCGACAGCTTCTGATGACGAGTTTGAGAACCTTCGAATTAAGGGACCTAATGCTGTGCAGCTGGTGAAGACCACTCCTCTAAAACTGTCCCCCCTACCCACTATTCCTGAGACTATCAAGGAGGTCATCTATGACATGCTCAATGCTCTGGCTGCCTACCATGCTCCTGAAGAACGTAAGACATGTTAACAAGATCCTTCCAGCTGTCTCTTTGAAGGGCATATATGTAATTTGAAATGGAACTAGTCATTTGATCACTTTGGCTAAGTGTGTGTGTGTGTTTGGCACAGCCGAGCGTCCAGAGGAACGTGCAGCTGCAGCAGCAGCCGCAGCAGCAGCAGCAGCGGTGCCTGGTGGAGCAGACCTGTGCCAGATACTGCAGGATGTTGGAGATGACGTCTACCAGCAGTACAGGCTCACCCGGCAGGGCAGCGACTTTGACTCTCAGTCTGCATTCCATATCAATGTGAGTGTGAATGACCGGTTGTCCTGTATTGAAACATAAAATGGGTCATTTCCTCAGTTAAAACAGTGCGTCTCTTTTTCGCAGGCTCAGGTGTTTTCTGCTGATGGAGCCGTGGCTGAGTCTTCCCAGTCTGGCACACCACAAGGAGAAGGTGAGTCTTAATGTTGTGTTTTTTAAAGTAAAAAAAAAGAAAGAAAAGTAACTGCACATATCAGAACTTATCAGGCTACTTATTGTGTAGTTTATGGCAAAGTTCTGTAAGCGGGCAGCAGAGAGTCTGTACTGTCATTTTTATCACAACGCAACAGTTTGGTTGCACCACTAATTAAATTAAATGATGACTTGAAAGCATAATTAAAATCATACTGGAAAGCATTGCTTTTGGTTGTTCATGGTTATTTGCCAAGTTTAAAATCTACTTCAGATGCACCATTTTAGTTTATTACTGTATATGATCTGTGTATCCATAATAATTGTGTTATGCTAACTTCCTCAGCTTCCACCCCAGAAGAGATGCGGGAGGAGAAGAAAGAACAGGAGGGCGAGAAGAGTACCAGCTCAGAGGAGGGTAAAGCAGCTAAGGTAAAGGCTAGCAAGCCCCTAATGCCAACCTCCACCATCCTGAGACTGCTGGCTGAGCTGGTGCGCTCCTACGTGGGCATCGCCACTCTCATCGCCTCCTACTGCTACACCGCTGGACAGTCTGAACTTATTAAAGAGGTAGGTGTTACAACAAAAACAGCCTCTGTATTTCAATGCCTCATCATTATTTTCTCTTAACCTCTTGTTTGTACTTCCCTGTGTCCCAACAGGACTGCAGTGTTCTAGCTTTTGTGCTCGACCACCTACTGCCCCATACCCAGAATTCAGAAGACAAAGACACCCCCGCCCTGGCTCGTCTCTTCCTGGCCAGCCTGGCAGCTGCTGGCACGGGCACTGATGCCCAGGTTGCGCTTGTCAATGAGGTGAAGGCTGCCCTCAGTCGTGCACTAGCAATGGCAGAGGGTACCGAAAAACATGCCAGGTAAGAAGCACCAAATAAATAAACCAACTTTTGTATTGATTAAGTATTATTATTATTATTATTATTATTAATATTATTATTATTAGCTGATGAAACCAGTACTCCTATTCTCACTCTTTGTCCTAACTCACTTTTTCCCAGGCTTCAGGCAGTAATGTGCATCATCAGCACCATCATGGAGTCATGTCCCTCCACGTCCAGCTTCTATAGCACAGCAGCGGCCAAAACACAACACAATGGCATGAATAATATCATAAGGCTGTTTCTGAAGAAAGGACTGGTCAACGACTTGGCCCGTGTGCCTCACAGCTTGGATTTGTCCAGGTATTTGATTTCACCATACTCAAGGATATACTCCTTTTTATAAGGAAATTACAGGTCTAAAACTCCACGGGGAATCTTTAAGTTGGGGTTTAACCTTTATTTTAAACTATACAGCATATCAAATTTGTGTAACTCAAACTGTTCCTTTACATTTCCTTGTTTAGTCCCAACATGGCCAACACGGTGAATGCCGCCCTGAAGCCTCTGGAGACTCTGTCCCGCATTGTGAACCAGCCCAGCAGTCTGTTCGGGGGCAAAGGAGGCTCCAGCAAGAACAAGACTGAGCATGATACTGTGGGCGCTGCCAGAGACAGCAACAGCAACACTCAGGACCAAGGTATGCACATTGGACGAGACACTTTAAACACTCTGAATCAAATTACTTCAAATATTTCTTGCTGATTTGTGACATCTATTCCAGGAGAGTCCGGTGAGGCAGAGCCAGTGGAGGGCAACCACAGGGTGCCGGGAACAGACAACGACCTGATGGATGGAGAGGCAGAGGGAGACACAGTGGTCATTGCCGGTCAGCCAGAGGTCCTGAGCACGCAGGCTATGCAGGTGATTGACCATTACAAAGTATTTCACCACATGACCTCATCTGGAACATCAATGATTAATACCCATCATTTAATGATGGGTATTACAAATTGTAAATAATTTAGTTCCAAGGTGCTATGCCACTTTGTCCACTTTATAGTGACATTTCATTTGTAATTTCCATTCCCTCTGCTTGCAGGTTGAAAATGAGTTGGTGGATCTGATTGATGAGCTGCTGGAGAGAGATGCAGGCGCTGTCAGCAGCGCAATTATTGGTAAGCCACTTGATCAATTTTGACGGGAAAGCCAGAGTATATGGTCAACATTTAGGGAGAGGTGAAAGTAGTTGTGTGCACAGCAGCTTAACCTCAGTGGTATAGTTACTGGATTCAAAGAAAACAATCAAATTGCAATAAGAGTTACTTGACTCACTGCCCCCTTTGTTTCAAACCGGCAAAGAAATCGGAGCTAATGTACTAACTTGTTTGTTCTGTCAATCAGTGGGACGCAGCGGTGAAGATGAATCACAAGAGGATGTGTTGATGGATGAAGCTCCGTCCAATATTAGCCAGACATCCACTCTTCAGACCAACCGTGAAGGTAATCCACCGGCACAACACAACTTTGTTTGTTAATCGTAGGACATGCAGCTTTAAGAAGCCGTTCCACTGATTGCTCCTCCTCAGTTTGGAAGAACTTCTTGTGAGATTCCGTGTTTCTTTCTTCATCAGACTCCATGAACATCCTGGAACCAGAGGATGAGGAGCATACCCAGGAGGAAGATTCTAGTGGCAGCAATGATGATGAAGACAGCCAGGATGAAGAGGAGGAGGAGGAAGAGGAAGAGGAGGAAGATCAGGTATGGATTCATGCAATGAGGTTCAGTTGACAAATATCGATTACTGCTTTTTTCTTTACCACTCAAGGCTGCTGCTTTTTCTCTAGGATGATGAAGAGGGAGATGAGGATGATGATGATGAAGGTTCAGAGATGGAGTTGGATGAGGACTTCCCAGACATCAATGCCGCACCTCACATCCGCTTCGAAAGGTTTGACAGGGATGATGACCTCATCATAGAGTTTGACAACATGTTCTCCAACAACGGTAAGCAGGATGATTTATTACCAATATCTGTACATTTGATTGTTTGGTAGAATTGGTTTTGATTAAGATTCACTGTGGTTTCGTACAAATGCACTTCCTGTTCAGATAAAGTCCTCCCCCTTCTTGATAATGAAGCCCACTGTTTAAAAATAAGGAATAAGTCTTAATCCCGTAATCACATTTTAAGGTATACATGATTAACAATGCTCAGCCCTCTTATCCTAAGTAGTTATTCTCATATTCCTCACCAAAGCTCAGGACATCCCAAAAAATAAAAATAAAGTTTTCTTAGGTTTATTTATGATAATCATTACTCGGGGTTCGTCCAGAGCTGTCCCCCTAATGTCTGCCTACTGTTTTCTGTTATTTTTCCATCAGCTGACATCCCTCCCTCCCCAGGCAACATCCCCAGCTCCCACCCGCTGATGGTGCGCCATGCGGACCACGGCTCCCTCACCCTGGGCGTGGCAGGCACCAGCAGCCGCCTGGCACAGGGCATGGGTCGCAGCCAGCGGACACTGCGACAGCTCACTGCCAACAGTGGACACACCATCCATGTCCATTACCCTGGCAACCGCCAGCCAAACCCTCCTTTAATCCTGCAAAGGTAAAAGCATGTTTTTTGGTTTCTTCGTTAAACAACACATCTATTTTTTCATTATTCAGTGTGTTTTTTTGACACCGCCATTCTTTATTTGAGTGATAACACTCATTAAAATGTCTGTTCCTCCTCTTCTGCATTCTTCAGATTGCTGGGCCCTAGTGCTGCTGCAGACATCTTACAGCTGTCCAGCTCACTGCCTCTCCAATCTCGTGGACGGGCCCGCCTTTTGGTGGGAAATGAGGATGTGCACATCATCGCACGCTCTGATGACGAGTTGTTGGATGACTTTTTCCATGAGCAGAGCAGTACCGGGGGACAAGCAGGTGAGAATCACTCTGGGTTATCATTGATGTCATAGTCTACTGAATTACGATAAGCCTTCATTCCTAACATGAGTGTTCTCTCTGTCCCTCCAGGCACCCTCTCTAGTATTCCCACTGCCTTAACAAGATGGACAGATGAGTGTAAAGTGCTCGATGCTGAGAGTATGCACGACTGTGTAGCAGGTAGGTCGGCAAATGACAAACCATTGTATTATGCAGATATCAATGCACAAGGCTTAATGAGTTCTGTTCACACACGCATCCAAGTGTACAGCTGTGTCTTTATTGTGGTCAAAAGCATGTTAACAGGTGAACATAAGTGTCATTGTTTGGACATGGAAGGACCATGGGATGAACATCTGTGTCTGCTTTCAGTGGTGAAGGTGCCTATCCTGCAGCATCTGGAGAGTCTGCGAGATGAGGAACTGGAGGAGCGTAGGGAGAAAAGGAGGAGGCAGCTGGCTGAGGAGGAAGAGTCTAAGCAGAATGAGAGGAGGGCCTCTGGAGCAGAGCAGGCCAGGGAACAGAGCCTGCAGGTAAACAAAACCCCTTAGTGCATTATGTTTATCACACAAGTTGACATTGCGTTGCCTATACAAATAATTTATATTATGCATGTGTCTTTTGGAGTTTTTATTCACTTTGTTGCTAATACAAACTGCTTTTGGTTCATAGGGTTCTGGATTGGGGACAGTTAACGGTGCCGAGAACACTGCAGGTACTGACACTTGAATACATTTTGTTTCTGTATATTGTAATGTTTACAATTTCTGTCTGGAATGGAACATCTGTGACGGCCTCGAGAGAGAAGCAGCCAGCAGAGCGTGCTGTGGGATGAGGTAGTAGTTTGTATAGTTTTAGGATCACACCAGATCTGGGAGATAACTATACAGTCTACTGTCTTTCTTATGGCTACGCTATACCAGCTGGACATCTCCATCTGATTTCTCTGAACTACAATGTTTTCTCATGTGTATATTGTATGCATTGCATTGCACTGGCTGTGCTGTGGTGAGGTAGTAAGTTGTGTTGTTGTTGGGGATAAGGATTGTTCACCCCGTTCAGGAGATAACTATACAACTTACTGCCTTCCTCAGTGCAGGCCCTTATCATCTATGTCAATCAGGATCAATAACAAATGTAGATACTGCTATTTCTGTTTGTGCAGTTTGCACGTGTGCCTAGTCATTCCTAACAATTAGTCATTACTGCTTTGAAAAGGTTTGAAGCTGTTTTGGCTGAGATGTTGTATAGGCGTAAGCATTGGTAGCTGTGAGTAATTATAAGGTAAAAAGAGCTAGTCCCCCGTCAAAATTATTCAGTTGTATTTTTTAAATGCTTCTTTTTACTGTTTATATATGTAATCTGTTTTTCACTCAACACATTTTTTCCATACATATATATTTCTTAAAGAGCTAACCTTGTCCTCACACTATTGTTCTCTCTGGATGTTGCAGAGGGTGAGCAGGCTCAGGGTGGCACAGTGTCATGTCTGGACCCACCCAGGGTCTCAGAGGGCTTCCTCACTGCTCCCCCATCTGGAGAGGTCACTCCCACCACACCTGCTCCTCATGAACAGGCGCTGGTCTCCCTGGAGACTGCCATCAGTCAGCAGGTCCACCAGCCAATCGCTGACCTCCTACTGGCTGAGTCGCATGCCAGCTCACTGGCTGCTCTAGCAGGGGCGGGCCTTCCTGCCTTGTCATCAGCTGACCGGCCAAGCAGTGAAGCGGAGGCATCTCAGATGGAAATGTCCCCGGCAGCCACAATCGGTGAGAGAGTCAGTGGAGGAGGAGCGTTGGATGAAGGCAGGGAAGGTAGACTAACTTTGAAAATTCTATTTACAGACAGGTCAACAGTTAGGTCACACATTTGTTATGTACATAATGTTGAAGCTAGTAACATCTTTTGAACACTGAAATATGAACCAATTGGTCAAGGAATTTTACAACAGAACATTGATTCAGGCCATTCTAACCTAACCGTCACTTTTTCTCTCTTTAGCCTCCCTAAGTCCAGACATCGTGGAGACCTCCGAGCCTGCAGTAGTGGGTGTTTCACAACTGGAAGGGTCCCCCATGGATACCAGCAGCCCTGCCTCTACCACTCAGGAAGAAGTGGCTCCCAACCCTGCCCAGACCGCCCAGCTGTCTCAGGAGCTGTCCGGCAGCAGGGAGAGTGGGCTGACTGACCGGCACACAGACGCAGACACTGGGTCAGTGTCATCCCTGACCAAATGAATGTTCAACTGCATCTATTGCCTAGATATGTTTATCAAAAGTTATAGATTGGGCGCCTTCTCTTTTCAACTCAAAATGAACAAAAGATGCTTTAGATTAAAGCATCTTTTTCCCACCACCTTTTTCTAAGCATTGAGTTACTGGTTTTAATTTCACTGTGTACATCAGCCAAGCCACTATTCACACATTTTGCCGCAGACTGACAATAGCCATTATTTTTATTTGATTCCCACAGCTCCACCTCTGTCTCATCACCTGGGGAAACGATGCCCAGAAGTGACAGCGCTGACAGCCAGTCTCAGGCCATCCAGGAAGAGCCCCTCCCATCCACCAGCAATGAGGACGAGGACCCACTTGCAGGTAAAATAAATTGCTATCATACTTTTTCTGTTGATTTTTCCAATTTTAAATAAAATGTTACTTAAAGCTCATATTTTTGTCTTGGCAGGCATTAGTCTGCCTGAGGGTGTGGATCCTTCCTTCCTGGCAGCTCTTCCTGAGGACATACGCCGAGAGGTGCTGCAAAATCAGCTTGGCATCAGACCACCCGCTCGCCCTCCAGCTGCCACCACTCTGCCTTCCACTGCTCCACCTGTACTGGGAGGCCCAGGGGTCACAGAGGTCAGCCCTGAGTTCCTGGCGGCCTTGCCACCTGCCATCCAGGAGGAGGTGAGAGACTCTTTGCAGAAATTATTATAACATTACAGATGACAAAATTATTATTTTTAGACTTGCCAACTGTAGAAAAAATTTAAAACATCTTTTCCAAATAAATAAGTAACGGATAATCAGTTTTCTAAATAAGCATGTTGTTTGTTTTAGGTTCTTGCCCAGCAACGAGCAGAGCAGCAGCGCAGGGAGCTGGCCCAACAGCCTACACAGGGAGACACCCCTCTGGATCCTGTCACCTTCATCCAGACTCTGCCCTCAGAGCTCCGGCGAAGTGTCCTGGAGGACATGGAGGACAGCGTGTTGGCCGTCATGCCTCCGGACATCGCTGCTGAAGCAGCCGCTCTGCGTCGTGAACAAGAGGCACGCCAGAGGCAACTGATGCATGAGAGGCTGTTTGGCCATAGCTCATCTTCAGCCCTATCTGCCATCCTGCGCTCACCAGCCTTCACCAGCCGGCTAGGAAGCAATCGTGGCGTCCAGTACACCCGACTTGCTGTACAGAGAGGAGGCACATTTCAGATGGGGGGAGGAACAAACCACAGGTGAGAAAACTGTGATCCAGTTGCCTGACTTGAGAAATCATATTATTTGGCTTTTTTTGTCAATAAAAAGAAAAGTATATAGAATTTAGCATGATGGACTTGAACATGTCCTAGGTGGTTTTGATCAAATCCTGCTGCGCTTGTTGTGACGGGTGACAAAAACTAATATATGTTATCTCATTTTCTCAGACCATCCAGCTCCAGTGTGGACTCCTTGTTGCGTCTGCGTGGTCGGTTGCTGCTGGACCACGAGGCCCTGTCCTGCCTGCTGGTTTTGCTGTTTGTGGATGAACCGAAGCTCAACACAAGCCGCCTGCACCGTGTGCTCAGGAACCTCTGCTACCACTCTCAGACCCGGGGTTGGGTCATTCGCAGCCTGTTATCCATCCTCCAACGCAGCAGCGAGAGTGAGGTGTGTGTCGAGACCACACGTCTAGAAGACTCGCGTGGCAAGAGGGGTGCTCAGGTAGGCTGCGCAGGAAAAGGCTCTGCTACCTCCTCCCTATCCTCTTCATCCTCCTCTTCTTCTTCATCCTCATCTTCCTCCTTGGAGCTACTGAACAGGGTGGAGTCTCGCAGCTCCAGCCAGCTTTCCTGGCTTTCAGTTTCTATGGACGCAGCCTTGGGCTGCAGGACAAACATTTTCCAGATTCAGCGAGCATCCGGTAGGAAGCATGCTGACCGGCATTCAGCTGGGGGCTCTACAGGGTCTGGAACACTGGGAGCAGTGTCCGGCGCTGCCACAAGTGTCACGTGTGCTGGAGGTGGAGGTTCCACTGTCCACATCCACCCACAAGCTGCTCCAGTAGTCTGTCGACACGTGTTGGACACACTCATCCAGCTAGCCAAGGTGCGAATACACCTATCTTTATCTACATCAGAAACATCCTCTATTGTGCGTTTGAAAACAAATGTCATTGAGTTGTAATAATTGAAGTCTTTTTGTTTTGTCTGTGTCTGCAGGTGTTCCCCAGCCACTTCACCCAGCAGCGCTGTAAGGATCTGTCAACATCTTCTTCTGATCTAGACTCTCGTCTTTGCTCAATCACCTCAGTGGTTGCAGGTGGGGGCTCCAGGTCAGGGTCTCTAGGTAACCCGAGCTCCAATGCCTCAAACACCCAGAACTCATTTGGCACCAATGCCGCTACTCTCCAGTCTCTGGGAATCTCTACTGATTTCTGGGACCTGCTGGTCAAGCTGGACAACATGAATGTCAGCCGAAAGGGCAAAGCCTCTATGAAGACAGTGCCTCTGGGGGGCAGTGCAGAGGCTGAGGGGGCTCAGTTAAGCCTGGAGACCTCCCCACTAGGCCAGCTGATGAACATGCTGTCCCACCCCGTCATCAGACGGAGCTCCTTGCTCACTGAAAAGCTGCTACGTCTGCTCTCCCTCATATCCATTGCCCTGCCTGACAACAAGGCCACAGAGGTGCCTGCTGGACACCCCACCCCACAGGCTGCCATTCCCACGGCAACCAGCTCAGGAGTCACAGCCCCGGTCACAACACAGGGCGCTGTGTCCACCCTGCCCACTGTGGCAAGCTCAGGGGCCTCTGCGGGGGCGGGAGCCCAGGGTACATCCTCAGGGACAAGTCTGGCAGCCTCCCAGACATCCTTAACATCTATCTCTATCCCCACGTCCACTGGAATCACTTCTACAGGTACTGTTCATTTATTCCAAGATAAAAAGTCATCAGTTCATTCACCTATGTAACAGCAATTTCAGTAGAAAATAATCATGTGTACCTTTTTGGGCATTTTGCTAAAACAGGGAAACTGAGGATGCCTAGCTGTATTGTAGAGATTGACAACAAGCTGGCCTCCAGTGGACTGACAGAGAAACAGCTTCAGCTCTCTGTGGAGGTATGAGAAAAGTGTCATACATTTTAATTTCATGAAATATGTGTGAACTACCTTTAGCTCATGGGAAATGTAACTTTGCATTATCTTACATTATTACCTCTGGTGGTGCATGGTGCGCTACAATACATCACATCAATACAGCATCACAGTAAATATATAACAGATCAAGTTGCGAAAGAGAATGTTTGTTTTAAGGTATGGGTGGATGTGGCTTCTTTGAGATTTGAGGGGATGTTTAGAGTTCAGCCTTTTCTCCAGAACATTTGAACAGTTTGCAACCGGCTGCTTGAGATTGTCAGTATACAAAATGCTGGATGACTGACAGACTGTCTCCAGAGGTTTGTGTCTTGAAACAGTTGGACTGTGACACAAACCCACAGTTGTCCTTAGGAGTCTTTACAAAAAGTATTGACAAAAACCTATACACTGTTTTAATCACAAGCCCATTTTTCTTGCCGTGTTTCTTTCACCAAATGCATTTAATAAATAATCCCTTTTTAGAAAGTTTTTTTTTCTAATAACTGCTTTCCTCCTGCAAGGTGTTGACATCCCACTCGTGTTCAGAGGAGGGTCTGGAGGATGCTGCTAACATCCTGCTGCAGTTATCTAGAGGAGACGGTTCCACTAGAGACACGGTGCTCCGACTGCTGCTCAGTGGTGCAAGACACCTCGGATACACTCTTTGCAAACAGATCGGTCAGTGCTAGGCGACTACAACGATGGAGAATCTAATGCTGTCATTCAAGCAAATGTAATTGTCTTTGAACACTTTTTCCTTTTGTCTCTCAGGCACATTGCTGGCTGAACTTCGAGAATACAACTTGGAGCAGCAGAGACGGGCACAAGCTGATTCCCATTCCCCGGACGCCCCCCCTGAGGATACCTCTCTCACGGGCAGACTGAAGAACAAGATGACTAGCAGGTTAGCCATGATGGTTCTGGGCCCCCCAGTGACTTTAGGGTGTCAACACATTTGCAAGAGAGAATGTGGTATTCTGATTCTGTAATTAAATTAGCCTTAATGTTCCTGTAGGAAGTTATTGCATGAAAGTTAGTTTTCTACAAATACAATTTCCTTTACCTTGTTTGCGTTTGTTGGTTGGGGCACAGGTTTGACGGATCCGAGAGTGTGGTCATTGTGGCTGCACAAAAACGTACACTCGGGGGCCGTGAGCTACAGCTCCCCTGTATGAGCTCACTCACCTCCAAGACGTCCACACAGAAGTTCTTCTTGCGAGTGCTGCAGGTCATCATCCAGCTCCGCGAGGACACACGGCGCGCCAACAAGAAAGCCAAGCAAACCGGGCGACTAGGCAAGAAAATGTCCCACCCTTTCTCTTTTTGATGTCTTCTTACACTATCCTGATGAATGAAATGAAACACCCCTCCTCCCTCTCTAAACGTCCAGGTTCCACCAGTCTAGGCTCAGCCAGCAGCATCCAGGCGGCGGTGCGTCAGCTGGAGGCCGAGGCTGACGCCATCATCCAGATGGTGAGGGAGGGTCAGCGGGCCCGCCGGCTTCAACAGGCGCCCCCACCCACTGCATCTGTCGCCGCCGCTGCCGGATCCTCAGTGGTGGTCCCCCATGCCCCCACTGGTGCTGCCCCCCCTGCTGGCACGGCTGCTGCCACGGTTAGCATGGGCTGCACTGACAGCAGGCATACTTGTACTCACACACACCGCACACACTTACAGTAGTAAACAATGCACATTGATTACTTAATATGACCATCACAATTTTGCCGTTTCAAAATACTATGGTAATCATCAAGGTAAATGATATGAAAGGACCCTTAGACTCCAACATGCCTTTTGTCTAATCTGGCTTTGCCTGTACTGGCTTTTTGCGTTTCTGGAAAATGTTAAGCTTACCCATTAAATTAAATCCATCTTATTTAGAAGATAATGACAGTTTACCATCAGTATGTGGTATTGCACTGTGTCTGTAAACAACATTATGCACTGTGTAGTCACCATACAGCCTGCTATCTCAATTGGTATGCGTGGTAAGAACTGCTGCCATGATAAACATTGGACTAGTCACAGAGGGACAGATGTGCCAGTGACTGACTGAAACCTATATCAATATCTCTGCATCCACGTGTGAAATGGTTAAGAAATGAATGTGCTGCCTGCTCCAAACGGTTTGATCTGTTCTACTGATGATGTCTGTTTGCTGGCTGTCATGGCTTCATGCTTGCGGCCCCTCCCTCCTCAGTTCCAGTTCCCCTCCTCTCTAAGTGGATCACGGAATGTCATTATGCATGGCAATATCATCAAGATGGTTACTGTGAAAATGAAAAATGATAATCATTAAGACTTCCATGTTTTATGCCTGTTGCTCATTCTGTGTCTCTGCCTCTTTGGTCCTTCCTGGTTTGTTTCATGTAGTCTGAAGTGCAGTCAATGTCAGAAGCCCAGGCGGCCCAGAGAGATGAATCTCCCATGGATGTGGACCAGCCATCTCCTCTGGATCAGGACCCTGCACCTCTGGGTAGGACTCGATTGCAAACTGTTAAAGATTATTTAAAACGCCTTCTGATTTTGTTTTTGTCACAAACACAAACATCTAGTGAGAACACGGCATCTCCCCTGTTCTGATATGAACTCAAACCATTTTTTAGCCAAAGAAATGACAGCTCCAGTCAGTTCATGACAGCATAGCTGATGTAATGTCAATTTCATTTTCAGATGAGGATGGAAACAGCCAGTCAGAGGGTGAGGAGAGACTCCCAGACCTCCCGCTGCTCAGCGAGCAGCTGTTGTTGGATGAACTATGGGACATGCTCGGGGAGTGCCTGAAAGAGCTGGAGGAGTCCCATGACCAGCATGCCGTACTGGGTTAGTGGAATCCTTTTGAGAAATGCATTTCTTGATGCTGTTTTTTATTGATCAGAATTATTAAAGGAGCATGGTGCAAAGATTTGTCCCCCTAATTATGTTTTCTTTGTTTCTCCAGTCCTTCAGCCCGCTGTAGAGGCCTTCTTCCTCGTCCATGCAACGGAGCGAGAGAGCAAACCTCCAGTGAGGGACACCCGGGAGAGCCAGCTTTCTCACATCAAAGATGAGCCCCCACCACTGTCCCCAGCCCCCCTGACCCCTGCCACACCTTCATCCCTAGACCCATTCTTCTCCAGGGAACCATCCTCCATGCACATCTCTTCCAACCTGCCACCGGACACCCAGAAGTTCCTCCGCTTTGCTGGTGAGCCTGACGGATTGAATTGAGGAGAATGATACAGCTTGGTTCTGATTTGTTGTGAAGTGTCTAACAGGACCATTCTTCTTTCTTTTAGAAACTCACCGCACAGTGCTTAACCAGATCCTGCGCCAGTCGACAACTCACTTGGCTGATGGGCCTTTTGCAGTTCTGGTTGACTACATTCGCATCCTGGACTTTGACGTTAAGAGAAAGTAAGGGCGATTAACTCACACTTTAATCTCACACTGTCTAATGTACCGTTATTGTTTTTTCAAATCACTGACGAACTGTTTTTGTTCCTGCCAGGTACTTCCGGCAGGAGTTGGAGCGACTGGATGAAGGGCTGAGGAAGGAGGACATGGCTGTGCACGTGAGGAGAGATCACGTGTTTGAGGACTCCTACAGGGAGCTGCATCGCAAGAGCCCAGAGGACATGAAGAATAGGCTGTAAGGCTCCATATTCATTCCTTCACTTGCATGTCCTCTCAATTCTACACTACAACCAAATCATCCTCTGCTCCCTTTCCGTTCCAGGTACATTGTGTTTGAAGGGGAGGAGGGCCAGGATGCCGGCGGCCTGCTGAGAGAGTGGTACATGATCATCTCCCGGGAGATGTTCAACCCCATGTACGCTCTGTTCCGCACATCGCCAGGCGACCGTGTCACCTACACCATCAACCCCTCATCCCACTGCAATCCCAACCACCTCAGCTACTTCAAGTTTGTGGGTCGTGTGGTGGCCAAGGCAGTCTATGATAACCGGTTATTGGAGTGCTACTTCACCCGCAGCTTCTACAAACACATCCTGGGCAAGAGTGTCAGGTATTGTAGCTAATGTTACAGCCAAGTCACCTAATTTTTAAAGATGTGTTCCAACAAACTATGCCTTATGATTGCAATATGTAGTAGTATTTTCTCTTGAATATGTGTCTGTTATAAATGTATTTCTTTGGTCTTACCAGGTACACGGACATGGAGAGCGAGGACTACCCATTCTTCCAGGGCTTGGTGTACTTGTTGGAGAATAATGTGTCAACGCTGGGCTACGAGCTGACATTCAGCACAGAGGTTGGTGTCTTCTATTCTCTTAAATGTTTCAATTAGCTTCAAGTGCAACATTGATTTATCACGCTGTCTCCTTAACTGTTGAAATTTGGATTTGGCCTCAAGGGTTTGAATCCCAAATGCTTTATGCTCTCTTAAAATAAGTGCTGCGAAAGTGTAATTTGCAATCTGATGGCCTTAAAATATTGTTAATGGATACCATCTGTGGCTCGTAGTAAAATGTTAAGCTGAAACCAGTGATACTGAAAGCCTGCATGTGCTCTGTGTGTGTGTAGGTCCAGGAGTTTGGAGTGTGTGAAGTGAGAGACCTCAAGCCAAATGGAGCCAATATCCTGGTCACAGAGGAAAACAAAAAGGAGTATGTGCACCTGGTCTGCCAGATGAAGATGACAGGTAAGAGTGTGATTCTATTACCTAATACTTTATTAGCAGTAGAGCTGTAACAATACAGGGGATTACTGACAAAAACAACTATTTAATGCAATATCTTTTAATCAGCATCTGTTATTTTTGATGTTCAGGCGTTGATGATTCTCAGTAGTGCACAAAGAAAGCACTAGGTGGCAGCACTCTTAAATGTTGAACTGATCAATATGCAGCAGAGGCTAAAAGTGTCTCTCTCTGCAAGATGGCTGAATTATCATAAGCAGCACCCTCCAGCTGCTCGTTTGCATTATTCAGTAAAGCTTTCAATTTCCAGATGTTTCATTGAAAAACAATAACCACCAACTTAATTGATAGAATAACGTTAGTTATGTGCTTAATGAAGAATATACTTCACTTGTTTTCTAGGTGCGATCCGCAAGCAGCTGGCAGCGTTCCTCGAGGGATTCTACGAGATCATCCCCAAGAGGCTGATCTCCATCTTCACCGAGCAGGAGCTGGAGCTGCTCATCTCCGGCCTGCCCACTATTGACATCGACGACCTGAAGGCCAACACTGAATATCACAAATACCAGGCCAGCTCCATCCAGGTACGGATGAGTAAACGAGTGTACAACATTATTATTTAAATATTTTCCAATACATTTCCAGATTTCTGCACATCACCTCTAGCTCAGTACAACTGATAGTCAGATTTTATTTGTGGAGAATTTCCCTCAAAATGTTATTGTTTTCCCTTAGATCCAGTGGTTCTGGAGGGCCTTGCGCTCCTTTGACCAGGCAGACCGGGCTAAGTTCCTACAGTTTGTCACCGGCACGTCCAAGGTTCCCCTTCAGGGCTTCACTGCTCTGGAGGGCATGAACGGCATCCAGAAGTTCCAGATCCACCGCGACGACCGCTCCACCGACCGCCTGCCATCCGCTCACACCTGGTAAACACTGCAATATTGCAAAGCATGCATCATTTGAACTATGTTGTAAAAATGTCTATTGTGAAACTAACTTTAATTGTTTCCATTTTTTCCGCTCAGCTTCAACCAGCTGGACCTCCCAGCCTATGAGAGCTACGAGAAGCTGAGGCACATGCTGCTGTTGGCCATTCAGGAATGCTCAGAGGGATTCGGACTGGCTTAAATATGAGACTCTTAATACACACAGACATGCATACAAACACTTGATTTAGATTTGCCTACTCCTGACACATTCACACTGATAACCTTTGAATGCACACACACATACACACACCACACCTCATACACACACTATCATAGAGCTTACTGGATTTCTTGTTGACCGGCCTAAACTTACTGGTTTCTATTCCATATTAAACAGATAAAACCAGCAAGTGAAATGGACTGATTGACATTGCGTACAACACAGAGAGCCTCATGTTGACACAGTTGTGTCTCCCTTCCCAATTAAATGGTGAATGCAAGAGCGGATTCAGAGGATAAAACATGGACTAATATAAGAGACGTTTTCTTCATATAGTTTGAGTTCTCTGTACAAAAGGTTTGGGAGTTTATTATGTTTAATCTTTTTTGTTCTCTGGTTGTGTAAAAAGAAAAAAAGAGAATGTTGTTTGAACAGGATGGTTATAAAACCTTTGGGGAAAAAATGTTGGTGGTTTCTTGTTGCAAATTTGTGCCCTCACAAGCCTTGGCGCTGGGGAACATTTGTATCTGGGGTATATGAACAACTTCAGAAGTTTGAGATATTCACAAAAATGCACTTTTCAAAAGTTTTGTGGCATTTTTATGGAAGGATGGTACAAAAATGAAGAGAAGACCTGAAGAAGATATAAAAAAAAAAAAAAAAAATAAAAAAAAAACATTAACCAGAAATCTAGAGTATTTTTGGCTATTAAATCGCTGACCCAGCCTTGAGCCTTTGAATCAGAGTGGAATAACTACATGAATAAATGCATAAAATTGCGTCCATTGTCTCTTTTAACAGTGTTATAATCATTACTTGCAGCGCTTCCATTTCATCAAAATTGAATGTTAATTCTGTGTGGAACCACACCACAGTTTCAATAGAAATATTTGTCAACTTGAAGTGTAATGATTATCAAGAGAGATCCCAATGATTCTGCGACAACTTTAATCAATCCAAGTTTAAACTGACATTGATTCCTGCAGGGGGGGGGGGGGGAAATGGTCCCTCATAACGAAATCGATCAAGTTCAGTAACATCATGAGTTATGACTGATACCATCCTGGAGCCCATTTATCATGCACTGCCCCAAGACTATAGGGTTAAACAATCAGGAGCAGAAGAGGAGCTCATTCCAGTAGTGCTGTCATTTCCCTGCTGACACTGCTAACTAAGCCCTCCAGTCTAACAGTTGTCTGTACCCTTCATTATGGCACACAGTGTCCCTTTGCTGAATCATGATGACTGACAGAGGATGACAGACTTATATTTCTAGTCATGATGGGGCCAAAAGTGTATTTGACTCGGGGTGTTCATGCCACACATCTTGGATGGCAAGTGACCTTTTTCCCAGCAGACATGTCCGCTGTACTAGCACAGGGGAACTAGTTCAGAATGACAGCATGCCATTTTGGTGAGCAAGTTCCAGGGTCCTGGTTTTGCACATCAATTTGTTTCACCTTTGGTTTTTCTGCTATGACAAGTCAACATTTCCGCAGTGATTAAGATATTTCACCTTGTTTCACCAGACAAGGACTACAAATAAAGGTGTGATATATCTCCATTTCCAGATTTGAATCCAAAGGACCAAAAGCTCTAGTATCAGGTTCTACCTGCTTGTAAATCTTTCACGGTCTGTTTTTATTTCTTCCCAAGTTCTTCCTACTTATTAGTTGGCTAATTTAAAAGTATTCCTTAAACCTTCTCTTGAACTTACATTAACTTTCACTGAGTCTGAATTTAAGAACGGAAGTAATTTTACATTTTATTTTGTATTCTATTTCAATATTAGGCAATTTATACGTCCGACCAACAAACACAATTTGTAGAAGCGGGAGGGCAGAAAGCATAGCTTATACAGAAGTAGCCCTCCCGTTAGTCATCCAGTTGCAGGAAAAAGATAAATCGGTAATTAAATACGCACTCAAATGTCAATTAATGTCTTGGGTTTTTTTAAACCAGGGATTTAAAACGGATTATATTCTTTACTATTTGTAGCCACAATACCCAGCTACTTCTGTTAGTTTGTCCTCTGGGTTTCCTTCCCTGAGTTTGGCTCTTTGCTCCTCGACTAAAGGCATGTCTGCAGTTTGCACCTGTCAGTCCCTGGTCTTCTCTCAATCTTCCCCTGTGTTTCCATCTTTTACCTGCTCTTCCGTGGTGAATTTGTTCCACTTGGAGGCCCTGTGCAACAGTGGAAATGGAATCCACCACCACTGCAGGTGCTCCTCTGACCCTCCCCCACCCAACCTAAAAACCCTCACACTGGTTTCAGAATGGGAAGCGTCCATGTCTGATTTGGTGCTTGCTGAGGCGTGATAAATGAAATTACAGTGCTGTCATGCAGAGATTTTAGATCCCACAGTAAGCCCTGTTTACAGTACATTTGCTAGCAATGTTTGCCCCCCCCCCTCCCTTTAACCCCCTTTGTGTATGAAGCAGCACAGATGCAATTTTCTGTTGGCCACGCTTGATTTACATATTCTGTAAGCATCTGTTGCTTTTTGGATGCTTTGATTTGCAATTAAAGACGGAAATAATGAAGTCATTCAGGGAGTTTGGCTGGGAAAAAGATTTCACAATACATTTCCTCACTAATGGGTTAACTTTCTGCTACTCGGGGGATTTCCTGTCAAAAAACATTCTGTTGCAACTTTTACTGAATATATTTCCTGTAGCTGTCAGTTAGAGATGGAGATATCCGTGGTGCTGCCAGAGGAGCTGTTGCAGTGCACCGTGCCGGCCCCTCCACTGGGGGGGGGATCATCAGACTGCTCAGAGTGAACAGGATGTTCCTTGTCACGCTTTCTCCATGTCACTGCATTCTGGTTTCCAGCTAAATCACACTCGTGTTTTTCCATTTCATGCTCTGGGGGAAATTTGGGGATCACTGTTATAAGAATTGAAATCATTCGGATGGTTGAGGACACTGATGCCTTGAGCCTGCATGTTAGTAATCATGTGACAAATTCAGAATATGTCACACTATGGTGCCTTAGCTTTGTCATACTACAAGATAAGATAATATATGGCAAAATGAATTGCTTAAAAGGTTGAGAAAATCAACTGGAGAGTGTGGCAACGACGTGTTGGTAAACTGAGTGCCCGTAAAACAGCAGTCCGTCCTCATCAGTGATAGTGGAGCTGGGGAGGAAATGAAGGCCAGTGGAGTTGATTAATAATGACTTCTTTGTATATGAGCCAGCTTCCAGCCTAATACATTTTACTGCTGCTGTCTCTGAAATAAATCAAAACATTGCTCCCAGAGAGAAATAATAAAAAGCTTCTTTAGCAAAGAGCCCAAACGGGCATGGGGACAGAATGAGTTCATTAGAGTAATTGGTTTAATGTTTCTAATTAGCTAGAGAGATATTTATACTGAATGAAATTGATCATAGTGCTTAACCCTTTTTTTGCAGAATTCATCATCCACTTCTGCTCCTTCTCAGTTTCTTTATCCTCAGAATCCCTTGGAGGGGAAAGGTGAGAATTGCAGAGGGAACCAGTTGCTATTTACAGGGTGTGATCACCACTCTGACAGCCTGCTATTGTTTCTTCCCATTAGCACATGGGGGTTTATTCAGAATAGATGTTCCAAATCTAACGCTTCCCTGTGGCAACTTGATAATCACACTCTGTTTGCATGTTGTGCTTTGTCACATTTCTTTGCAAAGTCTTGCAGTAAATGTTGTGAACCCTGTGCTCCTAATGCAGAACACTTGATAAATGAAGGTGGACAGGAGCAGCTCTCCGTTTTGACAGCAGTGGGGCGTGTTGGGGAGGGTGTTATGTTCTGTTGTGAATTATGTCGGGTTTGTCATCGCCTCCTGATAAGGCTGCTATCTCTGCTCTGCCTGCGAGGACCAGGATGAGAGCGGCAGAACAAACTGAAAAGACACATATTTTGCCTTCACATTCTTTCAAGTACTGGTATTTGTGTGCATTGGTGTGCGTTTTGCCCTTCAGGAGAAGAGTGGAGAGTCAGCTGTAGGAAAAGTTGTCTCAGGTGGGTGCATGTAGGCTGGCCTTTGGTCACTGCCACATGTGCAGAGACCGCTTAGTCCAGACCCAAACCAGTAGTGAAAGTCTGTCTACTGTAAAGGTCATAGTCTCTTGATTACTTCTGAGCTTCCAAGCATCTCTGTTCCCTATATATTTACCACAATGCATCTGTAACCCCCTCCACTTCCCCTCCCATCAGTGGCACAGCAGTGGGCACCGAAGCCAAGCCAGTGCAAGATCATTCAGCCCCGTCATATTGCAGATCATCTAATGCGGTCAACTGCTGAAGGTTATCTTTGGGGAAGTAATATTGTTGAGCCCCTGAGGGAGATGTAATAATGCATGAGGCAATAACTGCAGTGGGGATTTGATGGCAGCATCTGAATGGAACCGCTTATGGATCTGTAAATATAGCAATGGGAATCCTCACAGTGCTCTTCTCTTGGTGGCCTTTTCATGGCTACCTCACTAATAGAAAATGCTACTCATGGGATGATGCAAGTGTATTATAATACGAGGTATGGGACAGCAAAGGGTCATTTATAGAACAAATCCTTGAAGAGAAGTGAACTAGTTAGTAGCACAGCCACTGAATGCTTGGTAACAAAATCTATGCAAAACCATATTTGAATATCAATGATGACATTTTGAGTATGTGTAATCTGCAAATTGCCATTTCCCCTCCGCCTGAATGCCAACACTTTGATCCTCCGACAACAACAACAGTTTATCTTTGATGATGCTCTAACCTTTGGCGTACCACTGCACATTTGGCCTGAGGCTGACTCATTGCTATTTACATGCAGTTAACATGCTTAATGAGATGTGTTCTGGTGAGTGAAGTGCTGGTCATATCTGGCAGCCGGGCCACTAAGCATGGCAGGAAACTAAATCAGAGTCATTTCCCTTCAATTAGCGAGTGATTAACGGCAGGTCAGAGACGGCTGGCTGACCTTCTGGCCACTAATGACTTTACCCGGATCAATGGATCTCCAATCGCCCGCCACATCAACAACCGTGCAGTCAGGGTAACAGACCCTGTAGGAGCAGAGGGTTGTTGAATCCACCTTTAACCAACCACTTCTCACTTATGCTCTGTCGTTGGCCTGTCGCTTCTATTTTACTTTGTGGCTCCAAGCACTTCCTCCATACTTAAGATGTTCGTAATTTAATCTTTGTTTACTGCGAAATGTTCCTCACCATTTCTCAGAACTAGCAGACCTCTGGACTTGTGATAATCAATTTTAATGTTATTTTTATATCCCCAATTCATAACAGAGGTTATCTCAGGGCACCTTTTATATAGAGCAGATCCATTTGTACTCCTAATGGGATTATTTACAGTGACTAACAATAGCAGTAAAAGAAGTGTTACTAATACCATTAATGTTCAGCCATTATTGATTTGATTATTGACGCCTATAGTTTTCTATACTGTACTGTGAGATATATCTCAGTGTCTTCTGTAAAAAGTGTTAATGTTGTCCCTTTCAACCTCCAGATGGTGGAATAATTAGGCAGGTCTTGGATCGATGTCAAGACTCTAAAGTCAAACATTTGATAGCACTCCTCTGTTAGGGAGGGATTTGTTTGTATAAATTGTTGGATAAAACATTTAAGAGATAGGTGGACTAAATTACTAATCTATTATTGTATTCCTTATTTGTTTAAGTCTCTGCATTTCAAGTCGAAATAGAGATGTTCTTCCTCTGACTGTGTTTATGTGTTTATTCCTGTGTTCAAAATGCATCCTTTCAATGAATACACTTTTCTGCTC